GTCATTTAGGACAGGGGCTAGGGTGTCCCCATTCCAGGGTGCTCTCTCTGCTCTGGATGCTTCCCTGACCCACTGATCATCACATATAGTTAAAAGAAAATACAAATACAAAATACAAATACCAAACAGCAACTAATTAAAAAAAAAAAAGGAAAACACGTCACCCTGCTCTGTGGCCTCAAGGACACCACAACCAGCCATCCCAGGAACAGGGCCACCCCAAGCAACAACAACAAAAATCCAGAGTGCCGCCGCAGAAGCAAAAAAAATAAAATAAAAAAAAAAACTCTTGAAAAGAGCTACCCCCAAAGGGCCAGAGTGCCGCCCCTTGAGAAGTGCCGCCCCAAGCACATGCTTGGAAGGCTGGTGCCTAGAGCCGGCCCTGCCCAGGAATATCTTTTATTTGGACCCACTTCCATTGGTGAGAGAGACACTTTCAAGCTACAGAGAGCTCTTCAATCCATGGGGGACAGCTGAATACAAGATCAAACAGGTTTCAGAGTAGCAGCCATGTTAGTCTGTATCCGCAAAAAGAACGGGGTGTACTTGTGGCACCTTAGAGACTAACAAATTTATTTGAGCATAAGCTTTCGTGGGCTACATCCGAAGAAGTGGGCTGTAGTCCATGAAAGCTTATGCTCAAATAAATTTGTTAGTCTCTAAGATCAAACAGCTAGTTTAGCATAAGTAGTTAGCACATACTCTGAGGGGCAATTCAAGGTGCACTGGCCACTTCACTTTGAGGAAGGACTCTGTGTAGCCCGAAAGCTTGTCTCTCTCACCAACAGAAGTGGGTCCAATAAAAGATATCACTCACCCACCTTGTCTCTTTAATTTTTTTTTAATTTATTTTATAATATATTTAAAAAGTGACAATGAAAAATATCAAAATTGAAACTAAACATTTCCATGGACCAAAAATGTTTTCAAAAATTTCATTTCATGGGCAATTGTTGAAATGTTTTGGTTTTGCTCCAAATGCCGAAACGTCGGAATTTCCTGCGGAATGGAAATTCTGAGTTTCAACCACCTCTGGCATTAAGGCTGTAGCTTGCACTGCTGTCTACTAGGCTGTGGACATTCTGGTCAGGCTACTAGCTGAGAGGATGCAGAGGACTTCCTGCTATCTCAGCAGACATCATCTGGCAGGACTGGCTGCGTCAGTCCCATGGAACTGCAAAAGGGAGAATCTTAGCCTTATCCATCTCCTATTTCTGGGGCCCCAGTGACAGTGTGACTGGAGAATGGAGTTACCACTTTATGCTAGCACTATTCAAAGCAGGGGAGAAGGGCATTGGTGAGGGCAGCTCAGCGGTGACCCCATCTCACCACTCTGTGTTGGCCAACAAAAATGGCCAGGAACAGGGGGAGTCTACGCTTCACCATGTAAAAGGGTAACAGAGCTGCTGTGGCTGCAGTCTGTGCCAAGGTGGTGCCTGCCAATTCCTCCACCTCCGTCATCCCAACACAGGGCTGGACCTTGAAGGCCTAACCTAACCCAGAGCCTATCCCACAAATGGACACAGGTGCGGTAGAAAGCTCCCTATTAGTGACCTTTACTAGCTGTGCTTACTGTATTTTATACAATTAAAGACCCAGGGAGGAATAATAAACGTGAGCCGACCACTGGTTTAACTGAGAAACCTGAGGGCGCTGCATAATAGTTCTTAAACCATAAACAATGTGCGAACCTTGTACTGCACAAATCTGTGAAGGAGAGTAACCAGATCATAGACATACGTGGCCAGACGCTCCCATGTATTGCTGCTGCCTTGCACTGGTGCAATCTGGAAAGGAGACGACTAAGCGGGGATATGATTGAGGTCTGTAAAATCATGAGTGGTGTAGAGAAAGTAAATAAGGAAGTGCTATTTACTTCTTTCTTATAACACAAGAACTAGGAACTAGGGGTCACCCAAATGAAATTAATAGGCAGCAGGTTTAAAAGAAACAAAAGTAAAGTATTTCTTCACCCAATGCACAATCAACCTGTGGAACTCTTTGCCAGAGGATGTTATGAAGGCCAAGACTATAACAGGGTTCAAAAAAGAAGTAGATAAATTCATGGAGGATAGGTCCATCAATGGCTATTAGCCAGGATGGACAGTGATGGTGTCCCTAGCCTCTGTTTGCCAGAAGCTGGGAATGAGCGACAGGGGATGGATCACTTGATGATTACCTGTTCTGTTCATTCCCTCTGGGGCACCTGTCATTGGCCACTCTTGGAAGACAGGATTCGGGGCTAGATGGACCTTTGGTCTGACCCAGTATGGCCATCCCACCATCAACCTCAGCCTGGACCAGTCCACACAAGAGATCGACTTCCTGGACACTACAATGCTAATAAGCAATGGTCACATAAGCACCACCCTATACCGGAAACCTACTGACCGCTATACTTACCTACATGCTTCCAGCTTTCATCCAGACCATACCACACGATCCATTGTCTACAGCCAAGCTCTAAGTTAAAACCGCATTTGCTCCAACCCCTCAGACAGAGACAAACACCTACAAGATTTCTATCAAGCATTCTTACAACTATAATACCCACCTGCTGAAGTGAAGAAACAGATTGACAGAGCCAGAAGAGGACCCAGAAGTAACCTACTACTGGACAGACCCAACAAAGAAAGTAACAGAACACCACTAGCCGTCACTTTCAGCCCCCAACTAAAATCTCTCCAGCACCTCATCAAGGATCTACAACCTATCCTGAAGGACGATCCCTCACTCTCACAGATCTTGGGAGACAGGCCAGTCCTCACTTACAGACAGCCCCCCAACCTGAAGCAAATACTCACCAACAACCACACACCACACAACAAAAACACTAACCCAGGAACCTATCCTTGCAACAAAGCCCGTTGCCAACTCTGTCCACATATTTATTCAGGGGACACTATCATAGGACCTAATCACATCAGCCACAGTATCAGAGGCTTGTTCACCTGCACATCTACCAATGTGATATATGCCATCATGTGCCAGCAATGCCCCTCTGCCATGTACATTGGCCAAACGCAGTCTCTACGCAAAAGAATAAATGCACACAAATCAGACGTCAAGAATTATAACATTCAAAAACCAGTTGGAGAACACTTCAACCTCCCTGGTCACTCAATTACAGACCTAAAAGTCGCAATTATTCAACAAAAAAACTTCAAAAACAGACTCCAGCAAGAAACTGCAGAACTAGAATTAATTTGCAAACTGGACACCATTAAATTAGGCTTGAATAAAGACTGGGAGTGGATGAGTCATTACACAAACTAAAAACTATTTCCCCATGTTAATTTCCCCCCTACTGTTACTCACACCTTCTTGTCAACTGTTTGAAATGGGCCATCCTGATTATCACTACAAAAGTTTTTTTTTCTCCTGCTGATAATAGCCCACCTTAATCAATTAGTCTCGTTAGGTTTGGTATGGCAACACCGATTTTTTCATGTTCTCTGTGTATATATATATCTTCCTACTGTATTTTCCACTGCATGCATCTGATGAAGTGGGTTTTAGCCCACGAAAGCTTATGCTCAAATAAATGTGTTAGTCTCTAAGGTGCCACAAGTACTCCTCGTTCTTTTTGCTGATACAGACTAACATGGCTACCACTCTGAACCATTTTTCAATATTCTTCCAATTTTCTTTTCACATGCCCCAACCATCTAAGCTGGATTCCCTCAGCTTTTCTATAGTTGGTACCACGTTCACTCTTCCCCTAACTCGTTAGTTCTGAACATTGTCCATCCTTGTCACTCCAAGCGTCCATCTCAGCATTTTGAAAGGCATTCTCCTATTGCAGATCATTCCACGCACATCTCTCCGTTTCACCCATGCCTTTCCTGTTCTGCTTGTAAGTTTGTCATTGAGGTCACCATTATCCTGGTGACTAGGTTATATAGTCACCACTATATAACCTAGGTACCTGAACTTCTGTACCTTTGGTATGGCTGGCCCACCAGACTTACAGTCCTGTTGTCTTCCTGCAAGGTATCATCAAGTCTACAGACCATGGCCTCCATTTTATTTCTTCTGATTTTCATGCCATTTCTTTTAAATACTCAGCTCCATCTCTCTTAGATCTTAATTTCAAACAGAAATTATTCATGTTTATAATACTTTAATGTTCCCTGCTGTGGTAGAGAAGTTAGATCAAATTACTTGTTTTGCTACTTGGTTGGATGCAGAGAATGACCACATCTCCCCTCTGGCTATTCAGAGGTGGAGAAAGCTTCCCCTCACATGTCATAACAAGGTAGGGGATATTTAAGGGGCATGAGTTGTTGGTTTTTTCCCCACCCAAGGTTATTAGCCTACCAGGTTGTCAGGATGTTTGAACAACAAACTTTAGCCTGGAGTCCCATGGACTGTGGATGAATTCACAGTCGGTAGTGAAGAATGGAAAGTTATGAAGTCATTTATTGTGGCAATAATACAAATATGGTAGGAAGGAGCCATTAAAATGTCAATATTTGCCAGCTTCCGAGCTTGCTCTCTCTGAACATCTCAGCCTATCTATAAAAGCCACCTATGGGATTAGGGATCCAATTCTCATTACAAGTGATGGGCATCCATATCTTTTAGGTAGATTGGAAAATTGCAGCCTCAATGCGTATACAACACAGGGTCAAATTCTACCCTCATTTATATCCATTGGTTTCAGTTCACAGAGGAGAAAAATGGATTCCTGAGTACTTTGAGGGAATTTGTGTCCATTGAAACATTTTTTTTTTCACATAACAAAAAGTATTTCATTTAAGTCCAGCTTTAATCATGTAAATCTTAGGGATGTTTCCTTCAAACAAATACCATGCGTGTTTCTTTTCTGTCTGCGTTAATTCGCCAGCGCTGTATATTGTTTCTTTGGGACTCTCAAGAAATGATAATTTGAACCATTCCTGGGTGTCTCTCTGATGTGGTGGTTCTGGATTTGGTGCTGAAATGTGTGTTATTTGCAAGTGCCTGCTCATGTCCTGACGGAACATTCTTTTGTCCAGGCTGGTGGTGGGAGCCCCCTATGAAACCAATGGACAGCTGAAGACTGGAGACGTCTACAAGTGTCCGGTGAATGGCGAGACTAACGGCAACTGCACCAAACTCAACCTAGGTACCACATGCCCTGCCACTTACGCAGCACAGCTAGCCTGCGTGCTAGAAAGTTATGAGTTAGGTGCACACAGATCATGAGATAATATATACAAAAGTGATTTTAAAGTCATATATAAAATACTGTGTGTGTGTGTGTGTATGTGTGTGTTTCTTTTTATTTATGTTCTGTCTTTTGAGCCTTTAAAGGTGCACTCCAGTCATGTTTTCAAGCTTTTTTGTGAAATGGCAGCTGAGATAATCATATAGTCATGTGACGGCTGGAGCTGGGGCTTTAAGAAATACTAAATCTCATGAGACTAAAATGCTTGTGCAGTCTCCAGAGGGAGCAGAATCAAAGAGCCAAACTGGTTCCAGAGGTGGTGCCTGTTCATTGTTGCTCTCAAGTTTTGCTTTTTTTAAAAAAACAAAGATCCTCAGCTGGTGGAAATCCGTGTCACTCCCTGACTTTGTGATTTACACCAGCTGAAGCACCGACCCTATTGTGTCACATAACCTAAAATGAAAGGAAAAGTTTCCATCTTTGTAAAAAGCATTGTGGGGGGCTCCTCAGTGGGTGTGAATTGTTCGGGGCCCAGATGGAGCTCTTTCAATTTACACCAGCTGTGATTCTGCCCCAGAGATTTTGGTTGGGAAGGATTTAAAACTTCCTCTCCCCCGTGTGCAGCCTAAATGCTATCTCATTGGGACAGAAAGTGAAACTGACTGGGAAGTAAGTGAAACTGACCGCTCCATTTCATTGTTCTGGCCGAGTGTGAACACACAGTATTAATGTCAGAATGAAAAAAACCAATCCCTAGAGAGTCAATGATCAGAAGTGTTACCTATAACAGGCAAGGGCATTTGTTTATAAAGTATAAGGAGCCTGGTCATACCCTTAAGATTACACACACAGGGGGGACTCTCCATATTCAGAGAGACCCCCACATCCCAGGGGAAGTCACCCCATCCTATCTGTCTTAGGTACTGTACTTATATGGCCCCATCAACATAGTGTCTGAGTACCTCAGTCTTTAGTGTATTTATCCTCAAACCCCCCCCAGTGAGGCAGGGCAGGGCTGTTATCCCCATTGGGCAGAGGGGGACGGAAGCATAGAGAGACTAAGTGACTTGGCCAAGATCCCACCAGAAACCTGTGGCAGAGCAGGGAATTGAACCTGGGTCTCCCAAGTGGCTAGTGCCCCCACCTGAACTTCTGTCTAGAGCTGGTTGGAAAATGCGGTGAGGGGGGGGAGGACGGGTCTGCAGAAAATTCCAATTTTTTGTCAAAAAAAAACCCAAACCATTTTTTTCCCCCTTTTCTCAAACCAAAATATTTTTGGCTGAAAAATGACAAAAACTGAAACAATTTTGGTTTTCAGCTGAAAATATTGAGTTTTCAGGTTTGGGGTTTTCTGACCAAAATCAAAAACTTGTCGAGAAAGTCCTGTGCCTCGCAGGTTCTGTCTACACTGTGAGTTGGGTGGGACTCCAGGCTCGGGTAGACACACTTGCACTAGCTCGCATCAAGCTCGTGGACTAAAAATAGAAGTGTTAGTGTAGCTGGGGTAGCCTGGTAGCAGCGAGCAGCAGCATGGACAAGCCACACCAAGTCCGTACCCACGGGGGTCAGGCGGGTTTGCACTCAGCCTGGAGAGCTGGTTTCACCACGCGCGGATGTCTGCGCTACCCCAGATACACTATTTTTAGCACTTTAGTGCGATGAGCTAGAACAGGTACGTCTACACGAGCTGGAATCAAACCCCGTCTCCTAGCATCAGAGGTGAAAGTAAGCCAGTACGCCCCGGTACCACATAGCGGCAAGAGCCGGTGCGCCGTACTGGGGCGGATAGGCTTCCCCTGGCAGAAATTTAAAGGGCCAGGGGCTCCAGCCGCCAGAGCCCTGCTGCCGGAGCCCTGGGGAAGCAGCGACGGGGCTCCGGGAGCTATTTAGAGGATCCGGGGCTGCGGCAGCCGCTCCCGCCCCAGCCCTTAAAATAGCCACCAGAGCCCCTCAGGGCTCTGGCAGCAGGGCTCCGGGGACGATTTAAAGGGTCCGGGGCTCCCACTGCCGCTACCCTCCAGGGCCCTTTAAATTGCCACCCAAGCCCCACTGCTGGAGCCCTGGGGTAGCGGCAGTGGGGCTCTGGCAGTGATTTAAAGGGCCAGCGGCTCCCGGCTGCCGCTACTGCAATGGTGCCCCGGGCCCTTTAAAGCTCTGCCAGAGGCCAGGGCCCCTCCAATGGTGATTTAAAGGGCCCGGGGTTCCCAGCTGCTGCTACCACAGCCCCAGCCCCGGGCCCTTTAAATCCTGATTTAAAGTGCCCCGGGGATTTAAAGGCCCCGCCTCTTCCAGTAGAGGTCCCGCCCCCCTCATAAGGACTCCGGAGTACCGGTAAGTCCTTTAAGTTACTTTCACCCCGCAGAGCGGGTCTTTAACTAAAGATCAAAGCTGCACTGGAAACTTTGGGTGTGCTTTAAAGCACTCCGTTAATGCGTTGAACCCACAGGATGAGAGGAAACCAGACTCTGAGTAGAAAGTGGGGAGACCCAAGACCTTTTATCTTCCCTTGCTGCCCCTGGAGTAGTGGGAGTTGGGGACAGGTTCCCCAGCAATTTGGAGGCTCCAGGGAAGAGGTACCACAACCATAAGCTTTGTGACATTGCCAGGATGTTCTCTGTGGGTATCTCGGGGCTTGATGTGCGTACCTCACCCCTCACCCTGCCTTGCCCCATCTGGCCCCTAGCCTGCGCTGCTCCCCGTGCATGGATCTCTGACCCCAGGGATACCGTGTACAGGAGACAAGGGGAATGGTGACTAGAGGAGACAGCTGCACAGAGGGTTTCCTCCGTGCACGGCTCCACAAGGAGAGTTCAGGGCTTTTACTTTCATGTACAACCCCCTGCCCTTCATTCCCCCTCCAGCACTGATCCTGCGGAAAAGTTCAGCCCCACAATATTCAGATCCATTCTCCTGCCCTCCAGAGGTCTAATGTGTCTGAGATTCCCTGGCTGGGATGTTCTTGGCCTGAAGAATCCCCAGGTGGCACAGGACCAGCATAGCACCTCCTACACCCTGCCCTGCATGCTTGTCCCTACCCTAAGCACCTGGGGTGTGGCTAGTGAAAGTAGGTTCTGACTGAGAGCCAGCTGCTTCCGAGATGCTGAAAAAATCTGTTGGAGGCTGTAACCAGCCAGCTCAAGGTAGAGCAACCCTGAGACTGCTCTAAGTTGCACCTCAGTACTGTCCCAGTGACCATAGGATCAGGAAGGCATAAAAGTGGCTTTAAGTCCCACCCCATCTGTGCCGAGTGCAGGAGTCCCACCTATTATGTTTCCCAATTGTAATTGATTATGAACAAATACAATTCCACTTACAATGGAAAATATCCTTTAAGTTGTAGGTGGGCCGGAGGCATGATATGTACATCTGGCACCGCCCCATGTCTGAGCTTTCTCAAAGTTCAAGGGTTCAGGACTCAAGCTTTTTACATGGGCCTAGTATTCAACCTACCAAGTTCAGCTCAGGATCTATCCTCCCCCAGAGTCTGGGGTATGGGACTGGGGATGGACTTGTGGTTCAGGCTCCTTCCCGGTTAAAAGCCCACAAGAGCCTTGAGAGAGAGGCTGATGCAAGGCCCCAGATGAAAGAAGAGGCCTCCTGCTCTTCCCATTAATTGCTCAGTTTTCTTCTCAGTTCCCACCTTTAGGCGTTGGGGCAAAGGTGGGAAGAACCCTCCTGTCTATCCCACTGTGGTCCAACTTCTCTGAGGCTCTTGGGAGCTGGCAGAGCTCAGATGTGCACTCCAGCGAAGCACGGCCCACGTGCCCAAGAGATGTACAATCATAGTCCCGTGAGCATTTAAAATTGCCAGACCACCCCGACAGGTTAGTGTTTACACCCCCACTAACCACATGCTGGAGACTTGAAGAGACGAAAGTATTTCTTTTGCCGAAGCTAAACGATGTTACCATTAGCCGAATGAAAGCATTGCATTGTGGGACTCTCTCAATTTTAAGAAATGGAATAAATTTGCAAATATACATTGGCAACTGCACGTGTTTCATACCCGCAATTACTTGCTAGACCAGTTCAAAGGTTTTTCTAAGGCTTATTTGGTAGGAAGTCCAGGTTTTTAACTCATGATTCAATTCCCTAGAAGACTTTTTTTCTATTTGTCAGTTCAGCCCATCCAGGGATAGTCTGAGATCTTGGCTCTGTGGCAGTTGCATCTATTGAGCTAAAATACAGGCTCTGTGACATGATCAAGATCAAGATGTCTTGCAGTCCTTCAACTGGATCTGTTCTTACACTTACTAGGATACTCATGGTGGCACAATAAAAATGTGGGATTTTCTGGTTTGTGTTACAATTCTTCTGTCCGCTTGTGGTCTGCCGAGGTGCTTCCTTCACAGTGGTAAAGCTTCGGCCAGCTGGCCAGCCGTGACATATAAAAACATTTCAGAAGCCTGTGTACTAGCCGCACCCTGCTGGATGATACAGCGCATCTAACCTTGGTATTCTTTCTCAAGGAAGAGTAACACTCTCCAATGTGTCAGAGCGCAAAGATAACATGCGTCTTGGCCTGAGTCTGACCACAAACCCCAAGGACAAGAGCTTTCTGGTAAGAAATAAGATACTGTCTATAAATAATTGGCTCTTAATATGCAAACTGCCTGGTGCTTTTTTAGTATATTGAGTCTCTCTCCAGGATCTCTGCAGCAACGTTCCTCTTGCTATTTGTCTGTCGTTTATTTCATTAACTTAACCCCAACAGGATTGTTTTATCCAGTTATGAATATAAAGGCGAGACCTCCACTTTCCAAGATGGTAGCAGCTTCTCCAGCCTGCCAAAGGAAAATGCATTTTCCAAACACCTACAGTTAACATTTCACGTCAATGTTCTGTTGACCTCATGGATCAAGCTTTCAGTCTTGGCTTCTATTGCGGCATGCCTCCTTTTGTGCATGGAAAAATGAAGCCTTTGCTAGTTGGCATTAAGGGGCTCATAGGGTCACAATGTCTACACTACACACAAAGCACAGGCTCTTAATCAAGTTGGCGCTCAAGCTCCCCTTCCGTCCACACACAAATCAGTTTGACTCGGGACAGCGAGCACTCAGGACCCACATCCGAGGATGCTGCTAGCAGGGGGGATGGGTCAGATCCCAAGTCCCGCTGTGACTTGGGTCCAGCCCTGTCATTTTGCAGTGTAGACATAGCTCAAACCGCAGACCTGAGTCAGAAGGTTTATATAGTGCAGTATTCAGAGTAGCAGCCGTGTTAGTCTGTATCCGAAAAAAGAACAGGCACCTTAGAGACTAACAAATTTATTTGAGCATAAGCTTTCATGGGCTACAGCCCACTTCATCGGATGCATAGAATGGAACACACAGAAAGAAGATATTTATACATACAGAGAACATGAAAGGGTGGAAGTAGCCATACCAACTGTAAGAGGCCAATCAATTGAGATGAGCTATCATCAGCAGGAGAAAAAAAACTTTTGAAGTGATAATGGAGATGACCCATAGAAGGTGTGGGGAGAACTTAACATGGGGAAATAGATTCAATTAGTGTAATGACCCAACCATTCCCAGTCTCTGTTTAAACCTAAGTTAATTGTATCTAATTTGCATATTAATTCAAATTCAGCAGTCTCTCTTTGGAGTCTGTTTTTGAAGTTTTTTTGTTGCAAAATTGCCACCTTCAAGTCTGTCACTGAGTGGTTAGAGAGGTTGAAGTGTTCTCCCACTGGTTTTTGTATGTTATGATTCCTGATGTCAGATTTGTGTCCATTTATTCTTTTGCATAGAGATTGTCCAGTTTGGCCAATGTACATGGCAGAGGGGCATTGCTGGCACATGATGGCATATATCACATTGGTAGATGTGCAGGTGAACGAGTCCCTGATGGTACGGCTGATGTGATTAGGTCCTATGATAGTGTCACTTGAATAGATATGTGGACAGAGTTGGCATCGGGCTTTGTTGCAAGGATAGGTTCCTGGGTTAGTGTTTATGTTGTATGGTGTGTGGTTGCTGGTGAGTATTTGCTTCAGGTTGGGGGGCTGTCTGTAAGCGAGGACTGGCCTGTCTCCCAAGATCTGTGAGAGTGAGGGATCATCTTTCAGAATAGGTTGTAGATCTTTGATGATGTGCTGGAGAGGTTTTAGTTGGGGGCTGAAGGTGACGGCTAGTGGCGTTCCGTTATTTACTTTGTTGGGCCTGTCCTGTAGTAGGTGACTTCTAGGTACTCTTCTGGCTCTGTCAATCTGTTTTTTCACTTCAGCAGGTGGGTATTGTAGTTTTAAGAATGCTTGATAGAGATCTTGTAGGTGTTTATCTCTGTCTGAGGGATTGGAGCATATGCGGTTGTATCTTAGTGCTTGGCTGTAGACAATGGATCGTGTGGTGTATCCTGGAGGGAAGCTGGAGGCATGTAGGTAAGTATAGCGGTCAGTAGGTTTCCGGTATAGGGTGGTGTTTATGTGACCATCACTTATTAGCACAGTAGTGTCTAGGAAATGGACCGCTTGTGTGGATTGGTCTAGGCTGAGGTTGATGGTGGGATGGAAATTGTTAAAATCATGGTGGAATTCCTCGAGGGCTTCTTTTTCATGGGTCCAGATGATGAAGATGTCATCAATGTAGCGCAAGTAGAGTAGGGGCGTTAGGGGACGAGAGCTAAGGAAGCGTTGTTCTAAGTCAGCCATAAAAATGTTGGCATACTGTGGGGCCATGCGGGTACCCATAGCAGTGCCGCTGACTTGAAGGTATATATTGTCCCCAAATGTGAAATAGTTATGGGTGAGGACAAAGTCACAAAGTTCAGCCACCAGGTTTGCCGTGATATTATCAGGGATACTATTCTATGCTATGGCTTGTAGTCCATCTTTGTGTGGAATGTTGGTGTAGAGGGCTTCTACATCCATAGTGGCCAGGATGGTGTTTTCTGGAAGATCACCGGTGGATTGTAGTTTCCCCAGGAAGTCAGTGGTGTCTCGAAGATAGCTGGGAGTGCTGGTAGGAGAGAGTCCACATAGCCAGACAATCCTGCTGTTAGGGTGCCAATCCTTGAGATGATGGGGCATCCAGGATTTCCAGGTTTATGGATCTTGGGTAGCAAATAGAATACCCCTGCTCGGGGTTCTAGGCATGTATCTGTACAGATCTGTTCCTGTGCTTTTTCAGGCAGTATGGACATGTTTGTATGGCTGTGCAACCCACGTCCAGCAATTGTAAGCCCAGATTTGCAAAGCTCAAACACAGGCTTGGAAACATCAAGTCCCCAAGCCCGGGTCCCAAAGAGCCGGCTTTACAATGCGATGTAGACATCCCCTTAGGTTCCTGAGAAATGGATAATGCAAATTGGCTCCACACATTCTTGCCATTCTGATACTGCCATTTCTGACTCCTGGCAAGCTGCTGCCTCCACACTGTCTGCTGCCACTGCCAATGCATACAGATCTAGAGCCTTATATGACAAGGTGAGGATTTTTCTAAATCCAGCCCAAAGCCTGGCAGGGAACTCCTCCTAAACAGAAGATATTGGTACAGGATAAAATGCTAGTACACCCTTGCCATGAGCCAACATCCTGCAAGTTAAATCTGCCTTAGCATAACCCACAAACACCCAATCATCCCAAGAGTTCACATATTTTAGAAAGGAAAATACTTGTCACTTCCTTACTTAGGCCATTTTCTCCCTCTGTTTCTACTTTCTGCTCTCCCTTCAGGATCTGTGACCCCCCTGGCTGTCTTCTCCACATGCGCACAATGTTCTTAATGGCTAAAGTCTCATTGTAATTTGCTCTGGAGAAACCCCACGTAGTGTGCTTCTTCATGCAGGCTGAGCTGGCATTGGAGGGGTTTGGCCAGAATAGTCCCCAAGTCGTACATAGGTGCAGATCTCTGATTCTTCGCTATAGATTTTTATAGCCTGTAAATCAGAGGCTAAGTAAGTGGCAGTTTTTCAACCCCTCACTGATGTTTTATTTTTCCCAATTTTCTTGACAGGCTTGCAGCCCTCTCTGGTCCCATGAGTGCGGAAGCTCTTACTATACCACAGGAATGTGCTCCAGGGTGAACTCCAACTTCAGATTCTCGAAGACCATCGCTCCTGCTCTCCAGAGTATGAGACACAATCTGTTATGTAGCCTCTAACTCAAACCCTGCTTTTGAAGTTAAATAGAATTTTTGTTCTTTAATCACTTCATGCCATTGAGAAAACAAAGTGAAGTCAGGATTTAAAAGGAAGCAAGATAGCAAAGGAAATGATTCGAGAAAGGCGACCCAAAGGGGATTACATGCACAGACATCTGGCCAACATTTTCCTTTTGAGTGACACTCGAGGAAGACAAAGCACCTTATGCTCCGAAAACCAGAAATAAGTGTCCGGCATATTTGATCAGCACCCTTCAGTGTATTGGGAAGGGAAAAGAGGGAAAGAATTCAGGCATTGGCTGCACATAACAAAGCTGATTTGCTGAACAGCTAAAAATGTTGGCCAGTATTTTCAAACCTGGTTGCGTAAAGTCAGCCACCTGGCTCCATATTTAGGCACTAAATAAGTGTCCTGGTTTTCATGGGCACTCAGCATCCACAGCTGCTGTTGGGTTCAGTGGAGGTTCTGGGTTCTCAGCCCCTCTGAAAAATCAAGCCACTTATTTAGCTGCCAACATTGACATCCTCTTTTGGGGTAATTTTGGCTTCCATCCTGTTGAACAGGCCGCTGATGAGCTGGGGTTTCTTTGGGTAATGGAGGGGAGTGAATTCAGAGCCTACTAACATTTTAACCGTATTTTTCTTTAAATTTCCCCTCTTATAATGTAATGTTGTAGGATGAATTTCTCCCATTGGTGCCCCGTTTGTGCAAGTTGATGATGTCATTTCAGACGTTCTTATCAATCAGAGATGCTGCTATGATCACATTGAGAAGTGTAACTGATGCCTTGGAAGAAACTAGATTACCAAGCCTAACTTTATCTTAAAATAATAATTGAACAAGCATGAAATATAAAGTCCTCCTTCCATTTGGAGCAGTTGATATGAGACCACTCAAGCTCCCTTCCCCGTGATTTATGAGTTCACGAGACCCTTCTGATAGAATCATGTACCCACTGAATCATGGCATGTCCATGCTTTGCTCCCCCAACAGTTCTCTGAGACACGTCATTCATTATTATAAAATACGAGGGCATAAAAGAAAGCCATAAGGATAACACTGGACAATGGCAGGCTTCAGAAAGGAAACTGACCAATCCACTGCCTCCTTTTCATCAGCTCATTTGATCAGTCCTTCGTAATGTGTTGCTATTGGACAAAACGCTGAAGTCCTCACTTGATTTTTTTTTTTTTGGCTTAATCTTTACTGTGGCAAAAGCTCCCCTTCTCTTTAGTTGGAGCAAATACTGATCTATACCTATTTCCTGAGCACTATCCATGTGCTGAGTGCTGGGTAACATAGAAGAAGGCATGGTCCCTGTCCCAGGAAGTTACAATGCCAGGATCAGATTCTCCCACACTTCCACTGGGTGCATCACCTCCTGCTGGCGCTGATTCTGCATGGTGCGTAGGCATGTGCTTATCTCACACTGAAGTTAAGCAGATGCTTAAGCACTTAAGGGCCTCTTTGAGTTGCCCCCTTGAAATCAAAGGGATGACTCACAGAGTAAAGTACTACTCAACATGAGTAATGGTGGCAGAATCGGGCCCTAAACATTTGAAGTAATCTAATACACTGGATGGAGGTCCAAATCTGAATCGGAGCCGGCAATCTGAGATTGCTTATGTACAATATTATTCTTAGAAAGTTCTCCAGCTCTCTCCTGCCAGAGCTAACCAGGGGTGTGGGCTCTCTCAATCTCATTTAAGCGAATGTGACCTGAAGGTCTTTACGTCTGATTGAAATCAGATTTTTCACACAAATCACAAGAGCGAGTACCTGGCTGCAGGGAATAAAGCCATAAATTTCCACTTTGCAGTTGTTGCCAAGGTCTTTCAATAATATGCTGTGTATTTTCCACAGGATGCCAAACGTACATGGACATAATCATCGTTCTGGATGGATCGAACAGCATATATCCCTGGGTTGAAGTGCAACATTTCCTGATAAACATCTTGAAAAAGTTTTACATTGGGCCTGGTCAGATACAGGTAAGCACGTCCCTGGTCATTCTTTGCATTTACGGCTCTGTTCATCCTTGCGCTACAGATTTTCCTGCTCCATTTCCTAGGAGAAATGTCCCTTTGGTGCCAATATACAGCAACTTGGCAAGGCGCTTGCCCAGAATAAACCTGCAGAGTATGTATTTGAAAGCTGAGCCAATGGAAATACTGCTCACGTTAATGTTCTTAACTGAAATATGGAGTAAGGAACAACCCACGCAATGAAATGGGAAGGAAGGAGGATGGTTAAGTTATGTGAGACTCAATCAGCATCGCTCTGTGTTTATGCAGTTTGTAGCAGCTGTGGAGAGTACTCCATCATTTTCTTGCTGGGCCTTATTGGCTATCTCTACACAGCAAAGAAAAACCTATGGCTGGCCCGTGGCAGCCAACTCCGGCTTGCAGGGCTGTTACCTGCACGAAATTCTCTGTTGCTCACACACTCGAGGGCACCCACCTTTACCCAGTTCCTAGTGCTCCAGGTGAAAAGCACCTAACTTTACCCTTCTGTGGGCTCCGGGAAAACACCGTTTCCCTGTGGATTCAGGGCTTAATCTTTTGCGGGTTTATGGGGTCTTTTACCAGTGAAAGAGCCTTACACAGTAATATCCTACATAACCTCTAGTTATTAACAGTCACCAAAAACAGAAGGCACATGCTACACAGACAGTGCTCACACTCCCAATAAGACAGATGAACTTTTCTTGATGGCCAGGCAGGATCAGGTCCATGTGGGGGACTCCAGTTTCTGCACTGTGTCATTGGCAGAGGGTTGAGGTCTGGCAGCTCTGATCTTTGGGGCTGTGTCCTGGAGTTGGTTCCCAAAGAACTTCCTTTTGGACCCCAGTTTATATAGTGGTATTTGATTCCTTTTTAGCTGTACCTTAACCAACCATTATACTAAAATTTTACTAACCAATCCTAACATAGTGTAACAAAGTTCTCTAACCAATCCTATCCCACCACCTTAATTAATTTACACCTAGCAAAATTAATTATGTAACAGACAGAAACAATTAAAGAACCAGACAGAGACCATACAGATAAACAGTAGGGAAGTGGGGACCATAATGACAAAACAATAAAGAAATGAGGATTTCACAACCACAACTATTGAGAAGTGATTTCTCAACAGACAGAATGCTGTCAAACTAAGTTTTCTTTAACCATGTTAAGATCTGTTTCTTTATCTGGTGATAGTGGGTGCCATTAGGATGGGGTCTCCTTTTTAACAGCCTGATATTATATTAGAATATAGAATATCAGGGTTGGAAGGAACCTTAGGAGGTCATCTAGTCCAACCCCCTACTCAAAGCAGGACCCATCCCCAGACAGATTTTTGCCCCAGATCCCTAAATGGCCCCCTCAAGGATTGAACTCACAACCCTGGGTTTAGCAGGCCAATGCTCAAATCACTGAGCTATCCCTCCCCGATTTAGATGGAATGTGAGGATGTGACTTCCTGCTTCTCAGCTAACGGCTCCTGCTCGGCTGCTCTTTTAATCTGGCTGCAGACGAAGGCCTGATCCTTACAGGGCAGTTTCATTGCTGTGTCAACTTCTGGGCTCAGTCCAGAGCCTCAGATCTGGGACCCACCCACCTCACAGGGTCCTAGAGCCCGGGCCCCAGTTCGAGCCTGAGCGTCTACACAGCAATGAAACAGCCCCGCGGCCAGACCCGGCGAGCCTGAGACGGCTGGCATGGGCCAGCTGCCGGTGTCTAGTTGCTTTGTAGACATGCCCATTATGGCTGACGTTGGTACCTAGGTTTGTGACTGAGAAGCCAGTAAGAGTAGGGGGGAATACGACATAAGGATTTCAGCCAATTTCTGAGTCCCCAAAACTGCACAAAGAGCCACCCTGTACGTCCTCAACAAGAGAAGACACCGGTCAGCATTATGGGGCCAGAGGACCTGGTCTGCACAATTTAACACCTAGGTTCCCAACCACACCACCACCCCTCTTCCCTTGGCAGTTTGAGCCTGGGTGATAGCTGGCCAGAATATGGACCCTCGATTAATGCTGGCTTTGTATCGTCAACTGTCATTTGGGGGGAAATATGGAGCAGAATTTGACTGAGTTTAACTTGAACTGTGGGCAGAGATGACTGTGGTGAGAACACGCTGAAATAGAGTCTTCTCTGCCAGTTACGCGTAAAAAGACGTCCAAAAGTTCCCCTTACACAAGGATGGATTCTAGTATCTAAGTCCCAGCAGAAATATGGCTGAGAACAGTTTGTTTGCCAGATCTTCTTGTATGGAGCAGAACTTGTTTAGTGGCTGATCTATCTTCATGCACTTTTAATGGACTACAATTAATTTCCACACTAATATTGGCAGAGATGCTACTGCAAACTCTTTTTGGATTCGCTTATGTATGTTGTCAGTGCCAAACCTCTAGCACTATTAAAAGACCAACAGCTTCCTGCCTTCCTTTTTCCTTCTGTGCTTCATTGTTCCCTGGGCTCAGAAACGGCTGGGCTGTTGGCTTTCCCTACACAGAATTAGGAGACATTTGCAGCTAGTTTTGGGGCTATGCAACAGGTGTACCTGGAAAAAAGCTTCTGTTCTTGTGTGTGCACTCACAAGGCTATGTGACCTTGCTCCTTTTCAGTGTCTTTGAATTGTAAGGTTCCCTGGTGAACTTTTTTGTGTGCAGGTCACTAAATAAACCTATATTATTATCACAGCAGTAGACATACCTGTTAGTCCAATTACTTGTAGCACAGAAGCAATGTAAGTATGGAAAAACCTGGTTTCGTTGCAGATGGCCCCATTACTACACACCCGGACTCCTAATCCCCACATTTCTAGTAAATCATACAACAGTCAGTTCTGTAGAACTATATACTGTATATTAACTGAAATTCTACTTGATCACTAAAACAGGCTCTTTGTTTCTCGGGTGACTGCTATGATGTGTGGTATTTGCATCCTTTGTAATGCTCCTTTAATTCCTAGGTTGGAGTTGTTCAGTATGGAGAAGACGTCGTGCATGAATTTCATTTAAATGACTACAGGTCTGTAAAAGATGTGGTGGAAGCTGCTAGTCACATAGAGCAGAGAGGAGGTACAGAAACCAGGACAGCATACGGGATAGAATTTGCTCGGTAAATCACAAATAGGGACTCACATTTATTCTAATTACAACTTTCTTTCTTTCTTTCTTTCTTTCTTTCTTTCTTTCTTTCTTTCTTTCTTTCTTTCTTTCTTTCTTTCCAGGTGTTTTGAAAAGTTAAACAATAGTCTCTGAACTAGGGGATATTTCCAGACAAAGCCATAATGATACTTTGTAACAGAATATATCCAGTTCAATCTGCCACTGCAGCCGAACCCAGGAGGAGGGAATCAAGAATTGCTGTATGTCAGCGTGACACCCCCCGACTCCTGAAACTGGCGAGATCATTTCAGCCCCTGCCCAGTGGTCCCCAGGCGCGTCTTTCACCAGCCAAGCATTACCACCCCCAACATACCTCTATCCTGGGGCTGGGATAAGGGGGCATAGACCTGGCTATTGTGGCGGCTCTACACTAGACCAGGGAAATCCCCAACCTGTTGATTAAGCTGGTTTTCTGCATGCTTTGTGCTGAGCAGGAGGAAAGGACTCAGGCCCATTTATGTCAGGGATATCTACCTCTTTCTGAACCTAACCTGGCTTGCACTGTTCAGATCCAGAGTCAAACCGGAAATATGAACTAGCCCAGTGGCTGGAGGAGTTCTGATCTGAGAGTGCGACGTGAACACGCCGCAGCAGAGCTCTATAAAGACCAGAACCAGCCTACAGTTCAGATCTTGTTTTTTCTTCACCCCGTCTCTCCCTCTTTTGTTGCAGAATTGCAAGTGGTGCGAGATTAGTAGGAATATTGACCACTAAACCACAGCACTATCGCCCTTAATTTATAACTGAATTTGTGGGCACTTTTTAATACAAAGACTGAGCCAGATTCTGATCTGTTATATGATGTAAACCTGGAGCAAGTCCTCTGATTTAATGGAGTTGTTCCACAGGGAGATTACAAGTGGTTCCACTATGAGGAAATATTGCTTCTTCACACCAAAAAGCTTTCCGAGAATCCCATATTTTGTTGGATTTCCTTTTTAATTTAAGAACTCGCAGCCCATTAATATAACAGTTTGTGGTTTGTGAGTCGACCCCGGAGTAGATTCCTGTTGATCTGAATGGAATGAGAATCTTGCAATATGTTCAGGTTAAACCGGAGTTCAGCCAAGAGAAGGGGTTTTTCATGTAAGTGGCACAGGCCAATGTGACGCATGTGAAACACACCCAGCATGGCAATGTATATTAAGGTATGTTCTGATCAGAAGAAACCTCTTGCAGCCAGCCTGCTGCTTTGCACCGCCCAATATTTCCTTTTCCTTTCAGCTCAGAAGCCTTTCAGAAAGGTGGGCGAAAGGGAGCAAAGAAAGTGATGATTGTAATAACCGATGGGGAATCCCATGACAGCCCAGACCTGGAGAAGGTGATTGAAAACAGTGAGAAGGACAATGTCACCAGATATGCTGTGGCAGTAAGTCACTCTCCTATTTAACAATACATTGTAGCTCCTCTATAGTGACCCACTAAGCTTGGCATCTGCCCAACTTCCCCATCTGTGAAATGGGTACAGACAGGTAACAATACAGGGGCATTCTTCTCCTTTGCCTTGTCCCGTCGGTCCAGGTTGGCTGCTCCTCTTCTTCATCCCAGATGAGGGTGGAGGCTAGAAGATCCCCACTTAGGGTCAGGAACCAGGCACCTCTACTGCCCTGACAGAGAGGCAAGGGGCCAAAGGTCAGGTGCACTAACAGCTAGGCCGCCCAGCCCTCCAGGCCCCCTATCCCAGTGCGCTTCTCACTGTGACGTTGCACTCCATATGTTTTATGGAAATATGCTAAGGAGTGTGAATATAATGTAACTGAATATGCTTCATGCAAAAGGTCTCTTGTAAGATATCATTACAAAGCTTATAATCTACTGAGTGTGTTCATCCTATTTGTATGTATGTATCATTCTTGTATCTAAAGCTAGAAATCTGAAGTATTACTCTGCATAGTTACAATAGGACTTCAAAGTGTGGGCCATTAATGGTGGCTTAGAATCTTGATGGCTCCCATTAACTAGGACAATTGGTTGTGAATGGCTCTTTTTATTCGCAAACTTTCCTGGGTACCTGCAGGCCAGCCCTGAAAGAATGGAGAATGAGGTCTTACAGTGACATGTGATCATGTCACCTGGTACTAAAATCCATCTTAAACCTGGTGCTTTTCCATTTAGAAGGAGGGGTGGGAACCCAGAGAGAGACAAAGGATACCCACCTTGTGCCAAAGATATAAAAGGGGGTGGAACAGAACAAAGGGGGCTGCCAGTCATAAGAAATCCCCTAGTTACCACCTGAGCTGGATCTAACAAGAACTGTACCAGGGGAAAGGATTGGGCCCAGACTAAGAAGGAGTCTAGTCTGTGAAAGAAGCTTATTGGAACATCTCTGAGGGTGAGATTTACCTGTATTCAGTTTCTTAAATGTATTAGGCTTAGACTTGCATGTTTTGTTTTATTTTGCTTGGTAACTTACTTTGTTCTGTCTGTTATTACTTGAAACCACTTAAATCCTACTTTTTATACTTAATAAAATCACTTATGTTTATTAATTAACCCACAGTAAGTGATTAATACCTTGGGGAGCAAACAGCTGTGCATATCTCTCTATCAGTGTTATAGAGGGTGGACAATTTATGAGTTTACCCCGTATAAGCTTTATACAGAGTAAAACGGATTTATTTGGGGTTTGGATCCTATTGGGAGCTGGGTGTCTGGGTGCTGCAGATAGGTAACTTGCTGAGCAGTTTTTGGTTAAAGTCTGCAGCTTTGGGGACGTGGACCAGACCTGGGTCTGTGTTGCAGCAGGCTAGCGTGTCTGCTCAACAAGGCAGGGTTCTGGAGTCCCAAGCTGGCAGGGAAAAGGGGCTCAGAGGTAGTTTTAGCACGTCAGGTGACAGTCCCAAGGGGGTCTCTGTGACCCAACCCATCACACTCACTTCCTGATCTCAGCCTTTAATTGAATTGCAAGTACAAAATGCAGGGACTGATTTTATGGATGTCTATGGCATCTTTGTAGAGGGAGGCTTCTCTTTTGAAAACCTGCCCCTTGGCATCTTGGGAACGCTATGTCCATTATGTGGAAACATTAGACGATTTATTTTTGTTTTTCACATCCAGGTTCTGGGGTATTATAATAGAAGAGGAATCAACCCAGCAGCATTTTTGAAAGAAATAAAATTTATAGCAAGTGATCCAGATGACAAGCATTTCTTTAATGTCACAGATGAAGCGGCACTTAAGGATATTGTGGATGCACTGGGAGAGAGGATATTTAGTTTGGAAGGTGAGTGATGTACATTTCCTGCATTCTAACAGGTTTATAGTGTTTCTAACTTCCACATATTCCTACAGACCATCTTCAGTTTTAGGATAAACCTGCGTGTTTCTTTGTTAGCCAACCCAAACATTTGACCTTCTAACTAGAATGGAGTCTGCTGGGCATTTTCCTAACATTAATAACATCATGCTTTGTTAATTAAAACAACTGCATTTGCCTATGTGTTGAAAGACATCGCGTGCACGGAACATCACGTGCACCTCCGACGTAAGAGGAGCAGCAACAATTCCCAAATTAAGGTTGCCTAACATTTTCCATTATGAAAAAATCTTTGCAACCTTTATTCGAAGATCTTTAATGCTTCCAGCAGACTTTTGAAATTTGCTGGGGGATAGTCTGGCAGTTAGTTTGGTGCCTTTTACTGACCCCATGAAAATCCATTCAGATTTGGCCATGTTATAAGCAGTCAAAGCTCACCATATTATGGGTGTGTATAGCATATGTAAGGTGCAATCGTCTAAACCTGTATTCCTTTGTAACTATATGGACACCTGTGAGAAAATGAGGCACTTCTACACAGGCAGAACTTGCCATATTTAGTCACTGGGCTAGATCCTTAGCTGGTGTGAATTGGTGTAATTCTCTTGACTTCAGTGATGTTATACCAGTTTACCCCAGCTGAGGAATTGGCCTTTCCTGTTCTGAAGTTACAGGGGGAGGTAGTAGTTCATTGTGCCTAAGTCCATTAGGTAACTGGCGATCTCCTCTAGGACAGGTCTTTAATTTAAACGTCTCTTTTTTATTCTAGGTACCAACAAAAACGAAATCTCCTTTGGACTTGAAATGTCCCAGACTGGATTTTCATCACACATTGTGGAAGTAAGAGAACAGATTTGTTTTTCTCTCCCATTCAAGTATTTTTTTGCAGGTAACTGTCCTATGGAAAGCAGATGTAGTGGCTTTTGGTTTTATGGTGTATGAATCCATGTTGCAAATACATGGCCCAGAAGGCTCTGATGTGCATTAGGGTTTGGAGATGGCTCAAGGTCTTGATCCCTGAGGAGGAGTCTATTTTTCCTGTTGTACATTGATACTAACTCCCAGAGTAAGTGTCCTGAATTTTTCCGGTATGTTTCCGTTTCACTCTTGATGGAAAGAGATGCCATTCCAGAGCTGACACCCTGATAGGAATGTGTGGGATGAACATTGAAATGAAAATCATTTCTCTCTGGAGCCGATGGGCCAAATTCTACCTGGCACAACTCCACCACAGTGTGGGGAGTTGCGTTCACTCACACTGTGCCTGCGCTCTCCTTTTAAACCTTACCTAACCAGTCAGTGCATTCCAGAGACGTCAGCTGAGGTTTCTTAGTGGCACCACTTACTCAGTACGAATAGCCGAAGGGAGCAGTGAGTGCCAGGTTCCTTGGTAGCTGGAATCAGCGCTGTGAACCGATCTGACTCCTCCCTGGAACTTGGGTGGAAGTCCAGGCTTTCCGGAATGTTTAGCCGATGTTTATAAACACAATAAAACATCTTTACTGGTCTCATCTCGAAATAGGAGGGCAAATGAATGAGTCATCTCAGTATTTATATATATATTTATTTTAGTTATTAGCTTTAGATGGAGAGGGGCAAGCAAACGTTTTATACAAGCTAGTGTTGACAGTTGAAATAGACAAGGCAAAGAGGGGGTGGGGAGAAAGTGCTGTTATCCTCACAACGGAAGCATAAGAGGTTTGTCCCAGGGCACGGGGGAATCTATGGCAGAGCCCAGAATTTGAACCCAGACCTCCTGCGTCCATTCCTTTCCAAGTGGGGAGAGATGGGACTGAATCAGCGTGACTGGAGGAAATGGTGGGGGGATGAGCAGTCACTGCAATGCTCACACGGCAGCGTTACCGGTGTCCCCTGCATTTTCACATCCGACTAGTGCTGTGCTCTTCACCCGGTGAGCGCCTCTGGCATTCCCATCCCTTCCCAGCTGGGACCTGCACCTTGACGGGGTGTTGCTGCCTAATGAGAGGGACCCTCACGCTGCAAGGGATGCAGGTTGGGGGGTGGCTTCCCACTGCCCACCTGTGTCACGCCAGCCACAGTCTGACCCCCTTGCCATTGTTCCTTGTCTGGATGGGTCCAGCCCCTTTCACGTGACACGTCAGGAAGCAGAGGAGGAAGGGGGTTCCTGGGACTCGGCCCTTTGACCCAGAAGGAGAGTAAACGCCATGGGTTGTGCTCAGGCTGCATCCAAGATGCCATCTGCAGTCAGAGGCTGATCCAAAGCCCAGGGAAGTCAATGGGAGCCTTTCCTTTAAGTTCCTATAAGTTCAGTGGACTTTGGATCAGCCTAAAATGAGGGTGGTTCTGGCCTTAAAAACCCAGCACAGCTTGAAATATTTACAGCCATCCAAATGCGAGAGCAGGTTGAGCAGTTAAATCAGGCAGTGTATTATGGGGCCGTTAGTTATAGATAAACTTGGTGATGGAAACACGACTACAGACACGATCTCAAATGTTACCCAGAAAATGACTTTCTCCAGCTCTGTTTCCTCTCTTTGTCTTCCATCCTGCCTTTCTCTGCACCTGCTAACAGCTGCTGTCCAGCACCCGTTGTACTGCCAGGAGGGTAGCTGGACTTCTCCGCCAGAAGAATCAACAGCTTTTAACCAGTCTTCAGCCTTGCTTTGTTGTTTGCTTAAAGACAGACTTTTTTAGTAGTCTTGCCAAAGCAGAAAAGATTGCAGGAATTGGCACGTCTGCGAATATTTCAGTTGCTAACTTGGCACTTGGATTTAATGCACATGGCTTAACTGCTTTTAAATGCTAGATGTTCTTCTAAACACATCTAGTACACTACTGAAATGCAATGTGACAAGGTGCAAAAGACAATGCTGCTAGGATCAGTTGGACTCTTGGAAATGAAAAGGTCGTTGAAAAGCCAGGGCTTGATTGGAAATATCGTTACAGTAGTTTTAAAAATATACCTTTCTGTGAATGCTTTGGAGACTTGCTTCCTTGAAGCTTTACTTGCTAAGTTCATCAGTCTTTCTGAAAATGACAAGTGTGATTTGTGGGAATAACTTTTTCTTGTTTTTCCTATAACCTATAGTGAGTCATCAAGCCAAATAAATACACTGCCGAGGAATTATAATTTCAGGAAAACTTCCAAAAAAAAAGAGCTGATAAATTTCCTAAAGGGGAAAACAACTAATTAGATTCTTCTCGTTACTCTCATTGATTTCAAACATCTGGCTTTAATCAGGATTTGCCCATATGTCCCATGAGGGGAATAATTGTATCTACATGGTAACAAATATTTTAAACAGAGAGAGGGGCCCAAAAATTAACCTTGAATCCACCCCACCTGTTCCTTCTGAACATGTGTGTGGCAGAGCCGAGGGAATCCAATTTGAATCCCCTTATCTGAATCTGATATTATGGATTTGGTTTGAGGTCTGATCCAGAACTGAGCCTGCTCTCCTGTTCTGGTAGAATCAACTAATCTCAGGAGATTTCCGGTGCTTGGGGTCAAAATCTCAGGAGACCAGCTGGGGAGATTTCAGGGCCATCAAACCAAAACTGTAGTCCTAGCTTGACACAAAATCAAGGCTCAAACCCTGACCTGACCTGACCCTCTTTCACATCCAAACACTGTACCCTGAGCCCAACGTCAAAAACTATGGACGGGGCCAATTCGAAATCAGATGTGGAACTGAAGTAGTGATGGCTCCCATGTAAATCACTGGCTAAATCCTCATTCGTTTCACTGGGAGCGGGATTGGGGCACAAGGGGGGGACCGGGGCACTGGTGCGGTTTAGTGGCCCAATCCCATTGTCTTTCAAAGGCAAAGGGATGTGCTGCCAAGTCATTGAGCCTCTTTTGAAAATTCCACCTTAAATCTCTAAAAGGACATGGCCGGGGTTTTAACGGAAGCTTAGTACCTTGTATAATCATCGTTACAGTGCTTTACTTAGCCTGTGTATCACCCCACTCCCTGCTGGGTCTCCTTGTTATGGGAACCTGCAAGAGTCACAGTCCTGCGCACACAAGTCGGTGGGATCTACTCCTGGCTGTTTGCAGTGATGTTATTTGAGGCAAGTTTGAATCCCAGTTTGCCATCTGCTGTGAAACGAAAGGCCACTGCGATTGCACCGAAGGGCTGCTTTATTTCATTATTTTTAGCACTGGATCAGGCTGCTCTTAGTCAGACTTTGGTTTTAGCCGTACTTATGATTAAACTTCTGCAGGGCTGAGGACAGACTGGCTGCGGCAACGTGTTATTAAATGACTGAGCATGGAGGGCCGCTACCAGCAGTCCCAGAGCTGATTGTTCGGGTCCCTGGGTCCAGCTCTGCTGCGTTTGGCACGGGACCCAAAGGGGATAGGAAAAGTGGCTTTAAGTCACCTTTGTGCTTCCCCAATCCTGGAAGCTGGCTGGGGGCAGCCCCTGGCACAACCCCAACATGCCCCCCAGGGATGCTGAGCCACTGACACCAGGGCAGGTTTCTGACTGCTGGAGCAGCGCAAAGCAGTTCGGACCCATCGGGCTTCCGTGCTCGCTGCAGGCTCAGCAGTGGGAGGAGGACACTTGGTGAGACAGGTTTAACAAAGGGGGCAGGCTTTGATCCTGCAAGTCCTTGTGCCAGGTACAGCAGGGTGCTGCACGCCGGCGTGCGGGGGGCACAGACACGCAGGCACGAGCGGTGTTAAGCACTGGGTGTCCTTCTCCCTGGGCAGGCGTGAAGCTGAAGCTCCTGGTGCCCCCAATGCCTTATTCTCAGGTGCACTGGATAGAAGAGGGGGGTGGGTCTAGGTGGAGAATGGGTGTATCTGAGCAGACTTGACCCTGAGTGCAACAAGAGGGGGGAGGGAGAGCTTAGTGGTTTGAGCATTGGCCTGCTAAACCCAGGGTTGTGAGTTCAATCCTTGAGGGGGCCACTTAGGGATCTGAGGCAAAATCAGTACTTGGTCCTGCTAGTAAAGGCAGGGGGCTGGACTCAATGACCTTTCAGGGTCCCTTCCAGTTCTAGGAGATAGGTAGATCTCCTTATTATCTTATTAAGTAGGACAAGCAGTGACACTCCCTTCTGTGGCCAGCTGCTGCCACCAGGAAGGATAACGTGGCCGCCTCGCAACTGCTCTCATTGGTTCAGGGCAGGATTTCCACGTGCTCCCAGACAGGATCCTCACCTAGCACTTGTGTGCCCCGCACTGCACCAGCGCCATGCAGGGTCGGGCTTTAAATGCATCTTAAAAGGAAGCCCAAGTTCGGCCCCTTTTTGGCACCGCTTCACTGTTGCTGGGTGATTTCGTATCTCCGCTGGTTTCCGTCTGTCGTTTGCTCGGTTTGACTTGATTCACGAGGTGTTTGGTGTTTGCACTGAAACCACCTTCAGCAGCCACAGGTCCAGATGACAAGCTGCTCTAAAGCTGTTGTGTTCCCCGCAGGATGGGATTTTGCTTGGGGCCGTAGGAGCGTATGACTGGAATGGAGCAGTGCTCAAAGAAACCAGCAGTGGAAAAGTCATTCCTCATAGGGAATCGTATCTCCAGGAATTCCCGGAGGAGCTGAAGAACCATGGCGCATACCTAGGTAAGGACATTACACAGAGCGGGTCGGTTTCATGAATTAAATTAATGATTTTTGCCATTTTTCAACCATTTCTGCCAGGCCAGGTGGAAAGTGCAGACTCACAGCAGACCCAATTTGCCAGTGCTCACAGAAATACCCGTCCAAGCAAAAATATATTGTTATGTACCCAGCTGTGCAGGCAGCCAAGACTGTGCTTGTGTGAGAGAGATACTACCCCTAGCTCACGGATAAAGCCGACTGACTATCCAACTAGTGGAGGATCCAGAGGAAAGCCAAAGCCTACAGAAATATACAGTACACAGAAGCAATATACATGCAGGAGTTCTGATCGTCTGGGTCACCTGCGGTTCTTAATGGGGTGCTTTAAAAAATACGGATGATATGTCATGGGTAAAGAGGAAATATCTGCCTTGCTGATCAGCTCTACGTTCAGCTGTTGGAGTCCATGAGTGATAATATACGCCTGGTTTTCAAAATGAAGTCTACTGATGTGACACGCTGCATGGAAGCGGTCTTCTCGGCCTGGCAGGAAGCAGAATCAGAGATTACACAGTAAGAGATCAAAGATGCCAAAGCTCTTCTCTGTGATATCAGGCAGAATAACAGCCCCCAAGCACATCATTCTCCTCCAAAAAATGGGAGAACGTAACAAAGAGGCTAATTGTTACAAACTGAGTATTGCTGCGTTCACCGTACCTGGAGCAGAGACAGGCTTTCAAATAGCACAAGGCCAGCTCCCGTTACACAAAGAATACCATGCTGCGGTGACAGTGGATGGGAGCACCGATTGGCCTTCTTCCTTAATAGCCCCAAATGGATCAGATAAGAAAAACAGAACGGTCCGAGAAAAGCTGGGCAATCATGTGTCCTGGACCAGTGGCAGTAAAGGGGGGTGGCAAGATTCCCCTGCACGAGGATCCTCTGGTGTAGACTGGCGTGCTGGTGGATTAGGCCATGCTGAGGACAAATGGGGTCCCTGGTGGCTGTCACGTAATGTAAAACAGCCTATGCCAGGGGATCGGCTGCATGCCCAGCAGCTCCAGGATCAGAGAGCATAGGTTCTGTAAAGCTACCTGTGCACCCACCCTCCTGACCTTTGTCCAGTGCAAACAGGTGAGCTCCGGGAACGTGCCCTGCAAAGTCGTATAGACAACGTTGTTTTGTACACACGGTGTACACATGGTGACAGCCATATGATAAATTGATGGGCTGAAACAGAACCGCTCATTCTAACCCCTTTAAGTTGATTCCTGAATTCCCAGATTGGAAACCTCCCCTATAAATTGGTTCTGAGTGAGAACCAACAGTGGAAGAGGCCTTTGGGGGGGAGGAATAGCTCAGTGGTTTGAGCATTGGCCTGCTAAACCCAGGGTTGTGAGTTCAATCCTTGAGGGGGCCACTTAGGGATCTGAGGCTAAAACCAGTACTTGGTCCTGCTAGTGAAGGCAGGGGGCTGGACTTGATGACCTTTCAAGGTCTCTTCCAGTTTTAGGAGATAGGATATCTCCATTAATCTAATCTTCTTTGCCATTCTAGTTCAACTGGCTGAACATTCAGTTTAATGGGACTTCAGCTTAGGAGGGGGAAATCTGGGGAAAACAGCTGAGCTTGCAAGATTTCAGCTCCTGAATCCAAACCCCAACCTGAAGCTAGCTACATCTTAGTCTTATTTCAACCTCTATCCCAGACCACAGCATCTAAACCTGATCCAGAGCCAAATACCACCTTCTTGACCATCTCTAGCTACCAACAGTACAACATCTTCCTGCAGCTCCTTTGAACTAGCAGCTACAGAAAAATGTCTGGGACAATGATAAGTAAATTTCTTCTCCGAAAGCAGAGTGAGCTTTTGGTCCTCTTTCATTTGTTTGGGGATTGTAATAAAATCCAGGTCAGTTGTCTTTGCCTAAAAGTATCTTTTTCAGAGGCTCTCCCTGGTTTCCACTTTAAATCATTCACTGCCAAAAAAGACGGAACCAGAGCTTGGAAACGAAATGTCTTACCATTATCTATCTACTACCTGGTTTCTATAGTGCCCCACCGTACTGCCTAAACCTCTTCTTTGCTAAGTGTGCGCCGACATTCTAATCAGTGGCACAATCACTCCACACCAGGCTGCCTTCAGTCCCATAAATGCCCCGGGCTGGACAACATGTAATGCCATCCTTAACTCAACTCTTCCTTGCTAGCGCATCTCCTGGGCACACCTGCTGCATGTAAAAGTGTCCAGGTGAAAACTTCAGCAAAGTCCCTCCAGGCCAGATTATCAGGTGCTTGAGACTGGGGAAAGAAGGCAGCAGCTCTGTTCGCCCAACCCTTCGAACTCCCCTCTCCGGGGCAGCCACAACCCTCAGCCCTGCCTTTCATGAGTGCAAGGTGTGAGAGAGGCCTTCACAGCCCCAAGGGAGAGCAGCTGGTTGGACGCACTGGCTGATGGCTGCCCTAGGCCAGCTCTGGGGAGCCCGTGCTGTATCCCCTAATAAACATGAGTAATGCTTCTCCGTGCAGTTTCCTCCATCCTCCACCTGCTGCAAACCCCACCTGATACAGCCTCAGGATAGACAGCAAATCCTATTTCTATCCAACGTCTCTAATATTTCTCCTTCTTCCATAATGATAAGGGACATTCATCAATATCATCAGTAATTCTCCTCAGTCTGTTATTACTGATAAATGTGTGCCTGCCTCTCTTCGTGATCTGCGATCTCCTCACATACATAGAGTGATAAAGAGGCTAGCGAGTACCTCTTGCATCCTAACGCTGTTCGTTTGTCTGTCAGGAGTCACTTTTTGCCATTCACAGGGAAGCCATTGGGGGTAGTTTATCTCTTTTCTAGATAACATCTAAAGCACCTGCCTAGCCCAAGAACAGTGTAATCATTTAAACAGGGATTTACCAGACATTGGAGTAGTGTGTGTAATTACTTTGATACTCAGCCAACCCTGATCTATAGATTTCACGGCCACACTTTATATCAAGGTTACATTTATGAAGCATGTTAATAAATGATTAATAGATGCTATAAGCCTTGCATGAGTATATGTGTTACAGATTATTATAACAACATCTTCTACCGATGAACTAGATCAGTGATTTTCAACCTGTGGTCCGTGGACTCCTGGGAGTCCGCGGACTGTCTAAGGGGTCCGCAAAAGGTTGTTACCATAGAACAGTGGTTGTCGACTTGTGGTCCACAGACCATGTCTAAGATTTCCAAAGGGGTCCGTATCTCCATTTGGAACTTTTTAGGGGTCCACAGATGAAAAAAGGTTGAAAACCCCTGGGGTAGATGATTATAAACACCTTATTGATACATTGGACTCTATAAGAATTGACTAAAGATTTATTAAAACATATTAATCACCTCTAACCCCTTTGTAAACTATCGATAAATGTACCCTTAATGTAAAGTGGGACCAATTTCATTAGTGAAATCTAACCCTGCCTTCCTGGCTCACGCAGTAGATTAGCTTAGAACAAGAGCTAAAGATTCTGTGGCTAAAGTAAAGCCAATCGCTGGGATCCAGCTGGATCATTCAGGGGGATATAATTCAGCACCTTTGCCTGGTTTCATGTTCTCCATTTGTATACAGGACACATCCGTATTTAACAGCAGTCACTGACCTCCTGGAGTTTTCAGGTCATAGGTGCAGGATTATTTACTAAAGTGTTCATGAATCTAACGTTCTCCGTGGAGTCGCAACTTTTTATAGCACCCATTAGTTTGGCATCAAATATCAGTCAACTCTTTTACGCTTGTGCAGTCTTCTCAGACCTGGTTTGTGCTCTGCTCGGAGGATGCCTTACACAGCACCACACTCAGCTGCGTGGAATCATGCATCAATGTTTTGTATCCAAAGACAGTGTTATGGTTTGTATAATTTTATATAAACCGTGAAGCAAGATGGCTATCAGGAAATGTAATGGATTTACCTGCTACTGCAATATTATTCTGCATTCGATTTGCTAGCAGCACCAAACCTTGCAAATTCTAGTAGTAATCTGAATGATCCAGGAGATGGAATGAAGGGACCCGAGCAATAAATTCTGGGCACTTCAAAACATAAGGTTAGAGTTGTCAGGTTTGTTTGAATGACTTTATCTTTTTGAGAACTCTTGGTTTCCAGTTTGCTGATCTGGGAGGCAGCTGGAGTTGGGTTAGCAGCCTGAAATGAATCAAAACCAGATGGTCAGCCAACAATGTTGCAATAAAGGAAGAGATTCAAAGAGTGGAGTGAGCAATGAAATGATAAGCACGGATGTGGACAGATTCAGACTGGAAATCCGGCATAACTTTTTAACAGTGAGAATAATTAACCATTGGAACAATTTTACCAAGGGCCGTAGTGGATTCCCCATCCCTGGCAATTTTTTAAATCAAGATGGGATGTTTTTCTACAAGATCTGCTCTAGGAACTATTTGCGGGGAGTTGTCTGGCCTGTGTTACACAGGAGGTCAGACTAGATGATCACAATGGTCCCTTCTGGCCTGGGAATCTATGATTCCGTCTATTCAGAGCCAAACGGGAAAAATCTAATCAGGACACTTATTTTCCAGCTAGAAAACACAATGTGCAATTGATTTATCAGGTTTCTGGTATCCAGATTTGTCTGTGTCATTTGTTACATCTATTCGGGACAGTATTCAGCCCGGGAGGTCATTCCCATGTTGGTGCTTCTTGGAGCTTCATTTCCAGGTTGTGCTCACCTTGTGTTTCCATGTCTTGTAGGTTACACCGTCACCTCAGTGATGTCTCCAAAGCATGGAAGGATTTATGTAGCGGGAGCTCCCAGGTTCAACCACACTGGGAAAGCAATTATTTTTACAATGCACAGCAACAGAAACCTAACTATTCACCAGTCTTTGAAAGGAGAACAGGTAAAATCTAAGGAGATACATGGTACAGATCTATGGGGCAGACTTCTGAAATAGGCTTGATTGAATGCACTACTGTATATGCAGGGCCGGCTCCAGGCACCAGCATTCCAAGCAGGTGCTTGGGGCGGCAATCTGCAAGGGGCGGCAGTCCGTGTGTTTTTGCCGCCCCGAGCAGCGCGCCGAATTGCCACCGCGGACGGCGGGGGCAGTCCGTGCGCCGTTAGGGTGGCACGCGTGTTTCCACGGCGGCAGCAATTCGGCTGCAGCTTCTATGTTCAGCTGCCGCGGCGGCAGTTCGGCGGCTTTGGTCTTCCGGCCGAAGACAGAAGCTGCCGCCGAATTGCCGCCGCCGTGGAAACGCACATGCCGCCCTAATGGCACATGGACTGCCCCCGCCGTCCGCAGCGGCAATTTGGCGTGCTGCTTGGGGCGGCAAAAACAGTAGAGCCGGCCCTGTGTATATGGCTATTATCATTAGTCCTCGGATCCTAGGTATATTTCTCATCTATCTGACCTGACGGACAAAAGGTCAGTTCTTCATCTGATGTAAATGGGCTCCATTGACCTCAGTAGAATTACACCCGTTTACATCAGCTGCAGATCTGGCCCAAAGGCTTTGTAACACATGTTGTGGTTTAAAAAACCCTGTAACCACTACATATTATTCTGAATGTTTTAAGTTTCTGATCAGGAGATTTGCTCGTTTCCCTACTCCACTCAGTGGAAACCTACCAATATTTAGTTGAGCGATATTGGTAGCTTCTGGTTCCATCCATGAATTCCGGAGAAACAGATTTGGGTGCTCTCTCTGTGGTCTTTGTCTCCCTCCCTGTGCAGATTACTTCTCTGTTATGTTGAAATGAAAGCTAGATGTTTTAACAAATCCATCACCAGCTAGGGATTTCACTGGGCTGGCAACTCTGACTTTCACAGCTGTAGCAGGGATAGAACTCAGGTCTTCCTATTTCAGACAGGTGTGAGCAAAAGGAGGGGTTTATTTTTAGTTGTTCCAAACCCACGGCCTTTGATACACTGTTCTGCAGGCTGGCACCTATCCAGCAGAGGGCAGTGGTGTACACGTACACACACCCCACCCACCAGCAAGTGCAATAGAATATGGAAAGAAACTTATTCTGTGCATAAAACTTACTAGAAGGTTGCACCCTGTGTTGCATCTGTAGACCAAGCTCATTTAGGGTGATAGCAGACAGCAAGTGTGAAAAATCGGGATGGGGTGGGGGGTAATAGGAGCCTATATAAGAAAAAGCCCCAGAATATCTGGACTGTCCCGATAAAATCAGGACATCTGGTCACCCAAAGCTCATTGCACACACCAGGGGCTTCTTGCCTCCCTCCGTTCCCCTTCCCCACAAGTGCTCTGTGTGCCACCCTCCCATCCCCCTCTACTTCAGGGACTTCATACAACCTCACCCACTCCCTTCCTCATGCTACGGGTCTGAGTGCCCCCATCCTTCCCACCACCCTGCGTGCGTTCCGGTGCCCTCTCCCTTCCCCTCACCTTTCTTTCTGTCTGGGAGCTAAGTCTTGCAAGGTAGCAACATGTTGAAGTCTTTGGGGGGTGTGGTGGGTGGGCAGAGCTGAGAAGGGGAGTACTGTTGTGCTGGAAAGTGTTAATAGCTGCCATCAAAGGGTTTTCTGAACTATAGACATTCCAGAGGCAGTTGAAGGTACTAGCTCTGCCAACCAGATTCCAGGGGATCCGTGGCCCCATTTTCCACCTTCTGGTTTTCCCCCAGAGTCAGTAGGGTTCTGATCACTGGTGCCTAGAACGTTCCCTGAAATTTTGGAATTGATCGGGTGCAGCATTCTAAAGTTATCGCAGGACAGACAGACAGACAGATGCCGTTGGGTCGAGTGTCAGACCTGGCTTCACTCGCCCAATGACGGTTACACAATGGGGATGTCTACACAGGCACAAAAGCCCCACGGCGCGGCCATGGCAGGCCCGGGTCAGCTGGCTCGAGCTCGTGGGGCTAAAAATGCTGTGTAGACATTCGGGCTCTGGGACCTTCCACCCTTGCAGGGTCCCAGAGCTCATGGTTCAGCCTGAGCCTGAACATCAGGTATCTAAAAGGGTGTCATAAGGAGGAGGGAGAAAACTTGTTCACCTTAGCCTCTGAGGATAGAACAAGAAGCAATGGGCTTAAATTGCAGCAAGGGAGGTCTAGGTTGGACATTAGGAAAAAGTTCCTAACTGTCAGGGTGGTTAAACACTGGAATAAATTGCCTAGGGAGGTTGTGGAATCTCCATCTCTGGAGATATTTAAGAGTAGGTTAGATAAATGTCTATCAGGGATGGTCTAGACAGTATTTGGTCCTGCCATGCGGGCAGGGGACTGGACTCGATGACCTCTCGAGGTCCCTTCCAGTCCTAGAATCTATGAATCTATGAATCTACACAGCAATTTTTCAGACCCAGATCCCCCCCCGAGCCTGAGTCAGATGACCCGGGCCAGCTGCGAGTTTTTTATCCCCACGTAGACACAGCGAAATAGACTCGCAACCTCCTTCTTCTCCAAATAACCTTCTTCTTTTATCTTACGCCTCTGCCTCCTTTTTCTGTAAATCACCTCTGCACCCATGCCACATATAATGCGGCAGCTTTGGCTCTGACTGAGAGCTCCCTCCTGCCTCTGTATCATGCTAAAAGCAGTTCCCTTGCATAAATCTGCTGTCATCTGTCTGTCCTCTTATTCCAACACAGGGCCTGGAAATTCATCAGACACCATTGTTCCCTACCCAGCCTCCTTGGCCTGCTGGGATGGGTGAACCCTCCATACTGGGGGTGAAATTCACCACTCTGCAAAGGGCCAGTATCAGGCATTAAGTTCCACTGAAGACTTATTTTGAAAGGCCTTTATGCTGTACAGGGCGAGCTTCACCTTGTGTGAATTTTGCCCAGAAGCAGAAAAATGGCCAGGCTGGTTCTGCTCATCTAGATTAGTTACGCATAAGCTGCTGTTAATCGTCTCCAAAAAAAAAAAAAAAATTCAGTCCGATCTCTGGCAACCGGGCAGAAAGCAAGAGTGTTATCAATGGTACAGCTGCGCAAACCCAGAATTCCAGAATATTGCCGATATCCATTCTCTGTGTTGTGGTCCATATAGAGACATGCCTAAACTGTAACGTTCCCATCTGGATACAAGCTTTCCCAAAGTTTCGTGGGGGAATTGGACTCAGAGTTTTGATCCATCCCTAGTGATATGATGTAGCAGGACAGTCGAGGACCAGCGGACCTGGTGGTCTGGCACTAGCATTCCCATTTCTGCTAGCCTAGGCGTCCCGGAGGGGGCCCCAGTCCAGGCGTGTGCAGGAGGCCTCGATCCCACTTGCGTGCTCCTCTCCCTCCCCTTGGGGTTCCACTGCTATAGAGGAGCAGGGGGACAAGGTGGGGGACCCAGGCCCACCCACTCCACCACGTCCCAAGCCAGGGCCCTGGGGGTTTGACAAAGTGTCCAGACCAGCTATAGATCTACCCCAAGTGACGCTTGCCCCTGGGTCACTTCCTACCAGACTGGCGCTCTTCTGTTTGGGGCCTGGTCGCTGGCTTAGAAGACTCCACTTGATAATGTCCTGGTCAAAGGAATCTCTTTTAGGGCTTTCAGCTCCCAAAGTGTGGGTGGAAAGATCCCTACTGCTAGAGCAGCCTTAACGAAGCTGTAGCCACTCCTATCCCAGCTCCCAGCATCAGCCTTTTTTCCTAGTGCAGCCTGTACCTTCCCCCCCAACCCCGCCCCCTTTCCTGGGCTACCTGTGTCAATTATTCCTCCACTTGATGCATGCCCTGCACCTGCTCAGGGTGGGTCCTCCCTGGCCCAGGAGTGCTCTATTCCATGCCCTGGTTCAGGTTGGGGTCTGTAGAGCCCATACGGTCTCCCTTTGAGAGTAAAGGACTGATTCATTCAAAGTAGCTTGAGGAAGAAACGGTGACGGGGTGTCTAATAGAACTGGGGTGATTGCCCAGCATATACAGTCTGCACAGGGAGGGAATTCTGCAGGGCAGAAGAATGAAGCCGCCATAGGCTTGGAGGGAACCCTTCAGCTGAACTATACACGCGTGTACCTACATTTAAACAATCTCTCCTTCAAAACCTAACAGGAAAATGTGACACTAAGAGAACTCAACAATGCCAGAGAAAGGAAAAGAGTCTGATCATTAATCTTTTAGCATTCAAATTCTTTTCCCGGAGATCTGTCTAGACAATAAGTTAACGTGTCTCCGTTCAGAAGACTGGAAATTCCACTCACTCCAAGGGTGTCATCCCTGAGGTATTCAATTCCTTAGAAATACGGGGACGTGTCGGAATACGTGGTGTTCTCATTTACATTCCAACCATTTTCTCCTTTCCGGCTCTTTCAGATTGGCTCCTACTATGGAAGTGAAATAAATTCCATCGACATTAATGGAGACGGGATGACAGATATTTTGTTGGTCGGTGCCCCCATGTACTTCAGCGAAGGCAGAGAGAGGGGGAAGGTGTACGTCTACGTTCTAAAAGAGGTAATTAAGCTGTGGTTGTTCCATCTTTGCTCCTGCCCTAGAAAAGGCTTTGGAATAGCCTGCACGTCAATTCCCCTTCCTCAAACTTGGCTACTCTCTGACATGGTCCTCACCCTGCCCTGGGCACTCTGCCGGGGTGTGAGTACAGACAGCATCCTGCGTCTTCCAGGGGACAATGCAGCAGCTCCTGTGGGAGAATGAAAGCATGCTGGCAAGGGGAACACTCCCATCACGCTCTGCTTGGACACTCTGGGTCCATCTACACTGAAGCTGGAGTTGTAATTTCCAGCTCAGGTCGAGGTACATGCACTAGCTTTGATGGAGTTAGCCCTCTGAAACTAGCAGCATAACTGTGTCAGCATGGCTGGTGGCTCGGGCTAGCCACCCGAGTACCTACTTAGGAGCACGGATGAGACTGTAGTCAGGTGGCTAGCCCATCCACCATGGCTATGCTGCTGTTTTTAGTGCACTAGTTCAATCAGAGCTAGTGCGGGTATGTCTACCTGAGCTCTTTACCCAAGTGCTGTGTAGATATACCTACATGTACCCTAAGACAGGCAAAGGTGTCCTCTCTGCTCTGCTGGACAGAGGTGCTTTTTCAGTCCCGAGAGACAGACAGACAAGGTGCAGCTCTGCTTGGCCAGATGAACATCCGAGGGCACCTGCTCAGATGGATGAATGAAGAGGTGGATTGGGCCCTCAAAGTAGGTGGCACACTGCACATGGTGTCCCATTCGGCAGTCTTACCAAAAATACCAAGTGAGTATCTCAGGCTGGATGCAGGGCCATGGCACATACACAGCTGGCTTGTCCAGAAGTACAGCCAAGTTGCCTCCAAAGATCACCTGGCATCTTTTGTCACAATCCAAAGGAGACACAGAACTTGGAAGCCCTTCCCAGCTGTGGCTGCTACTAGACTTTGAGCGAGTTTGCCTCTTTTCCTTGTTAATAAACCGTCCTGGTTTTCTGATGCCAGCGAAGGGAATCTAGACCGTACTACAGTGCAGCTGCATTGTCTCAGGGTCCCTTTCAACCACTCTTGTTCCAAACATATTCACAGACCTTGGGAAAGGCAATACTAGAAGTTGGATTACCTTTCCCTTTGGGAAAACGTCTTCTGGCTACTGGCCCCTTTGTCCAGCTCACACTCTGGGGATGGGCTTCTGGGTCCTGATCGAAACCCCATTTTAATCTGGGGAAAGAATCCCATTTCTTCAGTGGGTTTTGTATCAGGCCCCTGGGGCACCAGGGTCTTCTGGCCAGACCATCTCCTGCTCCCAGTGCCTCAAGGATGGTCCCATGGAACATGGACGGCGTTTCTTCTGCCTTGTCAGCATTTTCCCATTCCCAGAGTCCTGGTGCCTCTCGAAGGTTGCTGCCCTGCCCTTATGGAAAAGCCCTACAGAATCCAATAAAGAATGAAAAGTTTTCTTTTCTTCTTTTAAATCATCCTATGGATTTTAACAGAAAACGATATGCCTGCAGTGGAAGCCATAGGATTGTTCAGATGGTAACAAGGGTTCCAACCAGCTAGAGAAAGGATCGTATTCTGTACAGACTCCGTGTTTCTAGACTTAAATCCCATTTTGTTTCTGTAGAACCTTTTAAAGGTTATGGGACTTTCCATAAGAACCTGTTCAGTCTTAGCCTGAGTCTGTAAAGTGCGGGACATGCTCAAAGATTGCAATGGTGTGGGCTGGGGGAAGGGACTGAGCCTTCTCATCATTCATAAGGAAGTGGTTGGTGCTGGGTCAGAGATTTTGGGCTCTGGTATCACCTGGTACTAGGTGCCTGAGAGGAAAATATAAATGCCCCGATGCTGGCAGTTGAGGGTACTCAACAGCTCTCTGGGGACGCTTAGCATCTCAGAGGCTGTGTGCTGCTTTTCCACATGTGTATTTGGTTGTAGAACTTTGCCTGTAGCAATGGGTGTTTCACAATCTCAAGCAAACCTTTTATCCAATTATTCAAGCATGTAATTGAATGAGAAAGGGGAAAAAAAGACATCAGTGTGAGCCTTCACGGTGGCATTTGCTGGTTCCTTGTTGATTCGTTGTGGGAAAGGCTCCTCTAATAACATTTCAGAATTGTGCTGTCTTCCTTGTTTGGGAAATTGTTTGCAGATTGCACTACCTCTGTTATGATTTCCTCTAGGATTCCAAACTCTCTGAGGTAATGACCAAAAATAGTCTCCGTAGACAGGAAGAGCCATTCCTTCTCCTTCTCCTCCTCTTTCTTGGACATCCTTGTAGCTTTCACGAGATTTTAAATCTTGGCAGCACTGAAAAAAGCCGTAAGCTCAGTCTGATTTTTATTGACAATGCAATGATAAAATTAGATCTCCCACATTGGCACTGAGTACTGTCTTGAGTACAGTAAACAGGGAAGCGCTGTTAAGGAAGAGAGATATACCTTTTAGCATGAAAGCTGATGATTTCTGTTCAGAGACACACAGTAGCAAATGTTGCATTATTTCCATAAACCCAAAGTAGGATTAGCAGTAAGTGTCACATATGTGTGGTGACTTCAGGTCACCTCCAAGAGGAATGTTACGTTTGAAAACAACACTTGAAAAACTCCTTTTGGTCTCAGTTTGCTTTTGCTTTGTGACCTAAGGAAGCCAGTAAATAATTATAATTGGTTAGGAGGATTTTGTAACAAATGTCCTTGCCTCCCAAAAAAACATGTTGTGCACTTCCTGCTCCGTGAAGACTATAAACAGAGGCACTGTCCCTAGATTTTAACTCTTGAAAATTGGAGATTGGGCGTTACCGATGGGAGGGTCCCTCTCACTCTCCAGCAAATGCCTGAAGTAGCGGGGTTTCAAGACCCCATTCAAGGCTCACCTGTTGGACCCATGTTTCCTTGGCTCTGGGTTGAGACGTGGCAGGTTAGGTCGGGTTGTTTGATAAAGGTTTGTGCAATATGGCCAGTTGATTTCCTTTTTTAATGCCAACAGCGTCGCTAGCGGCCACAGCAATGGGTGCCTAATACTGAAATAATAGTAATAATGCCGCGTGAATAAACAGAATTAATCTGACAAGTGAGGCTCTGTGAAATTGCAGGGGAAATTTCAGCCGAAATATTCACACAATTTTCCTGACTTGGTTTCGTGCCCTTGGTTCTTTTATTTTGGGGGAACGTTCATGAAATCAGCAATTTGGCAACGCTGCTTGTGTTCACGGTGCAGTTTTGCTTGAAATGGGCTCGTTGTCACTCTGAAACTTGATGACCACAGCACCTGTTTTGAATTTGCAATAAAATGCAAAAACATTCAGAGCTGGAGCTAGCCTCTGCTTATATGTTCCGCCCCATCCTCACAGGCTGCAATAGCCAGGGATCTGCCCGGCTGTGGAATCCCCAGCCCCACCCTGTCCCCCCAAAAAATACAGTGCACAGGGCTGAAATGAGCCCCCAGCAGGCAGGGCTCTGCTGTACACAGTGGGTGAGCACATGCCCATGCTTCTGAAATACTGCGTCCCTCCCACAGCAGAACAGGGTGCAGAGTTTGCCTCAAGATGAGCAGATCTTACAGCCATATAGATACAGAATAATATTTGTATGTCCAGATCCCTTCCACTTAAAGATCTCAAAGCACCAGACAGATATTAATGAATTAAGCTTTACAACACCCCTATGAGGAAGGTACGTGATCTTGCCCCTATTTTACAGATCAGTAGGCTGAGGTAGAAAGAATCTAAGTGGCTTACCAAGATGATAGAGCCAATGTTTGGTTGGGCCAGAAAAAGAATCCAGGGGTCCTGATTCTCTGTTCTGGCCGGGAGTCCGTAATGCTTGGTGTTCTCAGTTACAATGGGCAGCAATCTCTGTGTCACTTTCTTTCTCTCCTAGCTTAGGTATGTACATGGCCCCCCTCATTACTATCTTTTCACCTCACACCACTCCTGCTATTATCCTCATTTAACAGATGGGGAACTGAGGCACAGGGCGGCAAAGTGACTTGTCCAAGGTCAAATAGAAAGTCTGTGGTAGAGCAGAAAATTGAACACGCGTCTCCCAAGTCTTGGGCTACTGCTTTAACCACTGAACCATTCTTTCTGTCTACCTAAGGCTTTTATACTGCTGTCTATCCTTCCACATGAAGTCAGTAGCAATAGCAAAGCACTTAGTCATGGATTTTCTGGCTCTTCTCTCTTTTTGGAGTACAGTCACTATTTAGGTTTGGGGAAGGGGAGTTGTTTGTTCTGTGGGGTTTTAGGGAGTTGGTTGATTGGTTGTCTCATGATTTGGGATTTTTTTATTCCTTCATCTTCATTGCTGTTTCTCCTTCCCCTTTGAAGGACCGGTTTGTTTTCAACGGAGCTCTGAAAGATTTGCAGAGCTACCAGAATTCTAGATTTGGCTCTTGCATTGCCTCTGTCCGTGATCTGAATCAAGACTCCTACAACGATGTTGTCATTGGTGCTCCTTTGGAAGATGACCACCAAGGAGCAATATATATCTTCCATGGCTTCAAAGAAAACCTCCTGAAGATGTATAAGCAGGTATGGTTTCCCTTGTCCCATGATTTCCCCACCAGCGAATTCCAAGAATTGTAATTTTCTCCCACTTTAGGGCCCCTTAGAGTGGTATATTTAGTGTAAATGAGAATCAGGCCCTGAAAAGGGGAAAAATACAGTTTGGAATAGTTTGTGGAAATTTGACATCATTTCTGAGGTAATAGTGCCTCAGATGTTCACAAGCCAGGAGTGATCTCAATTCATCTCTGACTACCCATTTTTTCCATATCCATTTATTTCACCCTTGAGTCTCCCATGGAGACTTTACCAACAGGAGAGGGCTAACATTTTTTGTGTTCCTGAAAGTGAGACGTGGCAAGAGATAGCAGTGTCATATCCTCCCTTGGTCAACCTATCCTGGGCAAGCTCTACTCCTGATGCCATCTCATGGGCAGGGATGGTGTCCCTAGCCTCTCTTTGCCAGAAGCAGGGAATGGGCGACAGAGGATGGATCATTTGATAATTACCTGTTCTGTTCATTCCCTCTGGGGAACCTGGCATTGGTCACTGTTGGAAGACAGGATACTGCTCTAGATTGGGAATTGGTCCTGCTTTGAGCAGGGGGTTGGACTAGATGACCTCCTGAGGTCCCTTCCAACCCTGATATTCTATGATTCTATGGACCTTTGGTCTGACCCAGTATGGCCATTCTTATGTTCTTATTGTGTTACCAGAAATCAGTGAGAGGATTAAAATGGAATTCTCCTCCTACATTTAATGTGTGTCTACACTGCAAGCTTCGTTTGGTGGTGTGTAGAGCACATACGTGCGTAGCGCCCTAGCACTGGTATAGCAGTGTAGCTGGTGAGGCCTGGTGAGCGTATACCTGAGCACATACCCTGCACTGCTCACTCAAGCCGTGCCTTCCCGGCTACACCGCTATTTTTACCAGTGCAATGTCCCGCTGCCTCCCTGCTACTGGAGTCTTTCCCCACCAAAGGAAAAGCCTCCGGCAGTGAGAAAAGGCTCTGGCATGAGTTTCCCCACTACTTCCCCCCTGCCAGAGCTTTTCCTCGCCACAGTGAAAGGCTCTGACATTGGAGAGCCGCTGACGGCTTTCTGCACTGCTTCCCCACTGCCAGAGTCTATCACTAACATCACAGTGTGGACGCAGCTTGCTTTTCACTGCGATGTGTGGCTACACATACTGCACACGATGCCGACATTGGTGTGTAGTGCAGGCACAGCCTGTGAATTATTCAGCAAGGTAAAGTACATCAGAGGTCATTGGCAAGACTACTTTTCAGAGAGAAGCTGCCATAATCCAGAACGTGAACTATCGCATCTCCAAACATCTGCTATCTCTATTAGCACTTGTAATGCTTTTGCCTAGCTATCCAGTATTTTCTGTGTTTGGAAGTTAACTTGTTCTTTCCATGCGTCACTAATTAATCAGAGAATCTTCTTTTGCCCAGATTGTTCTTCTTAATGTTGCTTCGCAGGCTCCAGTATAAAATCTGTCTCCAGTGACAAAATCTGGAGGTGAAATCCTGGCCCCATTGAAGTCAAAGAGAGTTTTGGCATTGACTTCAGTGGGCCAGGATTGCACACTCGCTGTTTAATTGTCCCATAATGTGACTGTAAAACTAGTTCCAAGATATTTCCTTCACATTTCCATGCTGAAACGCACGAGATACGAAAGATGTATCGAAAAGGAATGGGATTTTTAGAGCTTCGTACAGTGGGACTGGTTTTGTAAATGAAACAGAATCATAGAAATGTCGGGGGGCGAATATGTGGAAGGGACCTCAAGAGATCATCTGGTCCATCCCCCTGCACTGAGACAGGATTCAAGTCGACCTAGACCATCTCTGACAGGTGTTTAACTTGTTCGTTAAAAACCTCCAACCTGTTCTTCAAATCCTCAGCAGAACCATCCTCAAGAGCTAGGGAAATGGCACAGCCGCCCACTTAAACTATTTTCAGTGGAAAGTTCTGAGAGTGATACCGCTCAAAAGCAAATGTACTGTTTTCCCAACAAATTATGTCAATTTCTTTTCCTTCAGTCATTTGAAAGTGACTCACGTAGCTCTGAATGCTCTAAAGCCCGGTGGTTAGTTCAGTGATCTCGGCTGAACATAACACGTAAGCGTGATTACTCCACAAGATCAAACTTTAATTTCTAGATCCACTGACTTGTCAGAAAGCAAGCAGGGAGCATGTTTTGTAGAGCTGTGAGCTCTGTGTGTTAGAGACTAAGGCCTGACTGACATAGGCACAGCCTTGTGCACCGGCAAGTGAATTTATGTGCATTCACACCCACGTATGCCCGTCTTCATGCACATATACTCACACTCATGCACCCACACACATGTTCATGCATGTTCCCACATACAAATGCATACATGTGCTCACACTTACGTTTTCACACACACATTCATGCTCACAAACATACTTTCATCTTTACACACTGCCATTCATGCTAGATTCCCAACAAATGAGTCTGAATGGAGGTCTGAAGGTGGTGCACCAAACCCACAAGGGAGTTCATCACCTGAAACAAGAGATCCTTGTTAAAGGATAAAACCCAAGCTAGAATAGGGTACTGGAATGCAAGAACCACTGGGAAACTGAGTCAAGAAGTCAGAGAGATGACTCGTTCAATATTACTATTGTTGGAGTGAGCGAAATGAGGAGGACTGGATGCAGAAGACTCCATTCAGATGGTATTACACTACTCAATTCAGGAAACTTAACACATTCCACCAGAGATATCTGTGAAGAATACTTGGTGTCCGCTGGTGGGACAAAGTAACCAATGGTGACGTGTTACAAAGGACTGACCAACAGAGTGCAGAGACAATGATTCAAGAAAGAAGGCTGAAGTGGTCTGGATATGTTGTATGGATGTCAAGAAACGTGGCATTAGACAGACGGAGAGGGAAACGCCAGCTTGTCTCATGAGTCACAAGGCACAAGAGCATAAAATAATAATAATAGTAATAGACTACTCATGCTAGAAACAAGAGTGGATTTCTTTTTGTGCATTTCAGAGAATAGCAGCCGCAGACCTTCTTCCAGGCCTGATGTATTTTGGATGCAGTATCCACGGACAACTAGATCTAAATGAAGATGGCCTCATAGACCTAGCAATTGGCTCCCTTGGAAGTGCTGTGCTCTTATGGTAGGTTATGCTTCCGGGTTTTGTAACTGCCCTCTCACCAGAATTCATTGAAATATGTTGTCATTTAGGGGAACAACTGATTCTCCAAAAATATGACCGATTTTATACCCTTAACAAGCCCTGCAGTATTCTACAATAATGATCCAATATACTTAGGCTTGGAGAATTAGATGATGTGTGTGTGTGTGTGATTTTGACAGATATCTGTATTTATTTATTTTTTGTATTTTTATCAATTCAAATGTATTACAGTTGTGCAAAATTATGGGTTGTCAGCATTTTTTTACTGTTATCCATTTAAATTTTCACAGTGGTGGGAAATTATAGAGGAGGGTCAGACAATAATTATTCAATGACAGTAATAATTAGGATTCAAAAAGTTAAAGCTTTATAATCATTAAGCCACAAATTGTCAATATCACATATCAAAATATACAAAGGAAACATACTTCAATCAAATTTTAGTTAGTTCTCAAGCAGCATTTTGCTCACTTTGCTTATCTGTCAATTTCAGTTATTATTGATGGAAAGATTTTGTTGGTTTCTGTGTGTGTACAGTGAAATCAACACTTGCCAATAAAGATCTAATTCTTCCAAGCCTAAATATCCTGGGAAGCAGCAGGGTTCTGGACCGTTTCTGTAGAATGGTATTGGAAATGTAGCTGTGCATGAAAAGGTGTCAAAACATCACTGAATTTCATAATTAATTCCCCAGGAGTTTCAACCAAAAACCAAACTTCATGTTGTTTCCCAAAGCTCTCTTGGTTTTATTTAATTCATAAATTAATACATAAAGCGTTAATGAATATTTGGAAAGCACCTTGAAGGCAGGAGGACAGACTCTCAGCCGATGTAAATTAGCACAGCTCAGTGGAGCTACACCAAATTTATACCACCTGGACATCTGTCCTGAAAAGTGCTACCCACTTGCAGAGGACCAAATTCTCCTCTCAGTTCTGAGCATGCAACTCCATAGAAGCCAATGGGATTACAGAGGAGAACTTTGGCTGTATGTTCGTTAGTGTTATTCTTCACCTACCAGTATGCAGTTATTTCCTCTCCCGAATCCCAGTTGAAGACTGATCATTGTACAATAGCGGCCTACGGTCTGAGCCACGTATGTCGTCGCCTGAGGCCATGCTTAGCCAGGTGTCCTGCAAGTACACCTGACCCATGTGACACAGCCCCGCATAGCGCTCTCATTCCTTGCTGTGCTCCTGGTCACTTCTCCTCCTATCCCGGTTCTAGTTCATCACTTGATCCTCTTCAAGTTCCTGAATTTCCTGCCAGTGCCTTCTTCCTCAGTCACCTCCTTGGAGTGGCTGTGTTAAGGAGGGTGGCACTATGAAAGGGGGTTACTGCAGCTATGTGGGGTGTCACATGTAGGCAGGAGGAGGCTGGTGTGGTTTGGGCTATGCAGGGGTGCAGCGGAAGCCCCCGTGCCCCAACCCCACTCCACTCCCCAGCAGAAGCGCCAGACGGCGGGGGAAGCCCCAGCCTCCAAACCCTGGCTGTGGCCCCAGGACTGGAGGAGCCCTGGCTTCCTGCTGCGGTCTCAGGGCTGGGAGAGCTCTCACTCCCTGCTGTGGCTCCAGGGCCCTGGCGAGGTGCTGGGCCGCAGGGGGTGGGGAGAAGAATGAGCAAACAGGAGGCCAGAGTATGGGGCGGAATGGGGCAGGACCATGGGTGGAACAGGGGCGGGACCGGGGGGCGGGGGGGAAGCAGAATGGTGTGGAGCCGTGGGAGGGGCCACAGGCAGAAGGGACAGAATGGGGGTGGGACTGCAGGTGGAAGGTGTGGGGAGGGGCCCCCCTACTTGCTGTGCCCCAGGGCCCCACGAAACCTTAATCTGCCTCTGGATGGGATGCTTCACATCTTACTCCAGGGAGAGCCCTGTAAAACCTATGTATAGACACCCGTTTAGGTGTCCAAAGACAAGCCACAGCCCTGCGGTATAACGCGTGTACCTTGTTCCCACCCTAGGTCCCGCAGTGTTGTCCAGGTCAATGCCAGCATTCGGTTTGAACCATCCAAAATCAACATCTTTAACAAAGACTGCAAGCGAAATGGGAAGGATGCCACCTGCATGTCTGCATTCGTCTGCTTCACTCCAGTCTTCCTCTCGACTCATTTTCAGACGGCAAGTGTGGGTAAGCGAAGGCTCCCGCTCTGATTTTGCCATGGCTCTTGTGAGAATCGACCTTTTCATTTGTCTTTACCTGGCCTGCATTGGTAAGAGCACTGCCAAGCTGCCCCTGTCTATTAGCAGGAGTGGAGGCGGAAGGGGAAAATGAGCGAAGAGCTTGTTAGGTGCAGGGTAGCACTAAACACATGTGCTTAGCCTCATCTGACATGGCCCATTCTCGACCCAGGCCCCACCCCTTTTCGACCTGCACACTGGCAAGTAATGGAGGAGATGTGCCAGGCCCTTTAGATCTACCACTGCTCAGTGCAGGGGGCTGCACCTCGTACGTCACCCTATTAGCATCTACGTGTAACCTCTGCTCACCCCTCCACTGGAGTGCAAAGTCTTGCAGTTCCTCCTCCGCCCTGTGCAGGGACTTGCAAAGTCCAAGCTTTGCCGTTAGAAAATGGTGGAAATCAGAACATGAGGTGACCAAAGAGGCTCTTGTTACCGACAGTCCACGCAAACCCGTGTAGGTCCCTGTGTGTAGCGGGGCAGATACCTTTTCTCCCAGGAGTGGGGTAAGCTGATTGGGGAAGAGGCCCACACCTCATCAGGCCCTGATATGAGGGCTAAGGGAGGAGCTGGGTCAGTCTCACTCCAGCCTTGGAGTAGGAAGGGCCTGGCTGCCTGGGAGCAGGGTACCTGACGCAGAGCAGGGCTGGGGAAGGGCAAAAGGAGCTGGGGAGCTCCAGCCTGGCAACTCCCCAGGCTGAGGCCTTGGGTAAGGCCTAAGCAGGAACTGGGGCTGCAGAGGTGTAGCCCGGGGATAGGCAGAGGCAGCTGGTCCCACCCCTTTGCCAGTGATGAGTGGCCATTACAGACTGCAGTCTGCCCCCAGAGAACGGGGGCTAGAGGGTGACTGGCAGTAGCCACTGAGGCAAGGTGGGTGTAGAGGGTTGGGGGTTCCCCTGGGAGGGGAGACCTAGAGCCGGGGGATACTGCTGGGGCAGAACCCTGAGGTAAAAGGCACCGGGGTCCGGGAGGGACACAGGAGCCTGAGGCAGGTGAGACACCGGCCAGCAGAAGGCGCTCCGAGAGCTGGAATTGAGCTAATTCCCAAGGCAACCAGCAGGAGGCGCCGGCGCCGTGCCGGGGAGTGCTCGATCTGCTACACTGCATTCATAAAAATGATTCCAGTCCTCAGGGCGATTAGCACGGCCAGCTCTCACCGTCGAGCAGAAAACACAAGCTGGAGCAACAGTGAATCGCTGTGCAAGTTTTATTAAAGAAAATAACCCTCGATTGGAAAATGTGCCACGGTTCTAGGGATTGTGATGTAGAGGGAGCAGAGGGACCCCAGCCCCCCTGAAAGGAGATCGGCCAACCGCGCGGCAGGGCCGTGCACAGCACAGTCCACCCAGCGCTTGTTCTGAGGGTAGTCGAATTCCTTCAGGATTGACCTCTGCTCTGAGCTTTGTAAAGATCCAGAAGCAAGGCCGTCTAGGCTGCAGCGTTCAGTCTCTCACGCTGGCTACTGCTCTGTTCTGGGACATCCTGGCTTACAAAGGGAGCCCTCCCAACCATGGGCTGTGGGAATTGTCACAGTTCTCGTACAGTCTGTGTGTGGGAGTTTGCTGCCTTGGTCTTGCAGCCACACAGTACATCTGTGGGCCATATGCCTACATACTTGGCTAATATCACAAAGAGCCTTTATGAGCCGGTCGATCCTGCTTGGCTTTAAAACACTGCACGCTGCTCTGACCTGGAGTCTACACACAGGATGCCCATGACTCAGCTAGAACAAGGAGGAAGCAAAAACAGCGTGGCCTATAATAACCCCCCAACAATGTATAGTAAAATGCTATGACAGGGGCTTATGTTATGAGTGAAATCATGTCCCCAGTGAAGGCAATGGCAAAATTCCCACTGATTTCACCGGGGCCAGGATTTTCCCCTATAATGATCAAGGCTGAAATTCTGTGTGTAACTCACCCTGTCATTTTAGAGCTTGCAGAAGAGGGTGACACAGAAATGTGTTAGAAGGGAGAGGAGATGCAGAGGGTTATCTCTCAGGAGTACAGTGCTGCTGAGGGCCAAAGGAAGCAAGAGAAGAAAGAAGCTGAATTCTGAATGTCTTAGACTTTGGATCTTCCATCTATTTTTAGCATTGCACTAGCGGGTATTAGGTCCTAGCACCGCACTAACACAGGCCGTTTGGGGTTTTGTCGGGGTGTGGGGAAGGGGGGGAATGTACAGCAATATTTAAGAAGAAAAATGCTCTCTCATTACATATGTAAGGGATGACCTGCAAAGCAGAAAGGGTACTTTCAGAACCAGTACAGTGCATGGTGTGGATAGATATCAGACAAATGTTTAAACAGCCTGTGCATTGTTAATCCGTGTCCTGAAATGACCCATTTATATGGTGGATTGTTGAAACACGAATGTAAATACTTCTAAAATGTCTGTTAAAAAGCCTAAAGTGGCTCCAGAATCCCAAATCCCTGACTCCCAGGTTCTCAGGTATTGCTGGTGTCCACAAGTTCCTTTTCCTTCGTTTGGCCAGAAGGTCATGACCTTTCCCCTCTGACCTCACCACCTTTTGTAACCTACAGATAGGATTACTGAAGTGTGCACTACCGGGGGCTGCTCTTGAGAGCATCAGCTGGTGCAGAATCCAGCTGCTTGTCTGCTTGATATATGTGTCACGTGGAGCATATTAGATATGTAGTCTGGTTTCCAGTGCTATTCATGGGATTAACTTTGATTTGTTAAACCCTTCGTACTCTAGCCTGGGTCTAGGCTGCCTTAGAAGCTACCTCTCTTTCATCTTCTGCTGACAGCCCCTAGATTTTAATTCTGGGAGACTGTTCATGACTCACCACTCTGGAATTTACTTCCTCTGCTAGCCAGCCTAACGAAGCCTGCACCTAGGTGTCAATCTCATCTTTATCCTCTCATCTTTGGCTGGGTTGGCATGATTGATGGAGCTGCCTTTGTGCTTTCAGTGGAGTTTCCTTCCGCCCCTATCAAGGTGTTAATTGTAAAGACGTTGTGGTGATTCGGTTGTATAGGAGCTGAGCTCCAAGGCTTGTAGAGGGTGCATGCTACAGCATAAGGCAGAAACATACATAAACAAATAATTCTGGGCACCAGCTGGCTGTCACAATGGACAAGGTTCCATATGTGCTGACACAGTACAATGTGAGGGCTGTCTGTTTATACCTTACAACACTGGTTCTCAATCAGAGGTCCAGGGGCCGCGAGCAGGATTCAGGGCATCCGTCAAGCAGGGCCAGCATTAGACTCGCTGGGGCCCAGGGTAGAAAGCCAAAGCCCCACTGCATGGGGCTGAAGCCCAGGGCCCTGAGCCCCGCCACCCAGGGCTGAAGCTGAAGCCTGGGCAATGTAGCTTCGGTGTAGCCCCTGTGGCATGGGGCCCCAGGCAATGGCCCTGCTTGCTACCCCTTGACGTCAGCCCTGGCTTTTATATGCAGAAAACCAGTTGTTGTGGCACAGGTGGGCCATGGAGTTTTTATAGCATGTTGGGGGAGCCTCGGAAAGAAATATGTTGAGAACCCCCTGCCTTACATGACCTGTGGTTTGGCCAGCTTCTTAAAAGGACAAAATGGCAACAACTAAAAGTTGCCTTCAGATCTCTGAATTAGCATCTTTTTTTTAAAAGGGGGCTTTGATAAGCTCTGCTGATGACATTTTGAGTCCATGCATTGACAATTCATAGATATTAATTTTATTCTGGTAGGAGAATGTTCATTTGTGCTCTAGGGAAGGATGGAGCAGAGCGGAGGCTTTGCCACATAAAAATGTAACAGTAGAAAGAAATCAGAATCAAATATTTCCCTTTTCAGGATTAAAATACAATGCAACCATTGACGAGCGAAGGTACACGCCACGGGCTCATCTGGATGAAAATAGCGACCGGCACACTCATAGGCTGGTCACATTGTCTGCAGGACAAGAACACTGTGACAAGCTAAATTTTCACGTCTTGGTAAGTATAGATGGCACCAAACTTGGAGACTCCTTCAACTCCTTTTGTAGTCAGTGGAGAGACTGAGTGGGATTTAGATCAGGCCAGGTAAAAGAGTTCTGCTTGGCAAAGATCTTCATGCAAAACAGAAACACATCAGGAAGCAGGCACATAAGCCAAGCGGAAGTGCCTCGAGTACATCACATGGCTGGAAACCGGGCTAAGCTTTATCTCCAAGTCCGGATTTCTTATTGCTGGGTTTGATGTGGTTAAGGATGAAATCCGCTCCGAGTGAGCTGCTGCAGTTTGATAGCTGCTCAGTCTGCTATGTGAGCCAGCAGGGGACCTGAACTCCTCCCAATCCCCAGTTACTTTTTTTCTAAAAGCCGTTTCTCATTTCAGTGCTGTAATCTATGGAATTCATACCGGGCTTCATCGCTCACGTTCGAGGACCAGTCCAAATGGTTCTGAACTCAGTACAAACACACGCAGTGACTTTGATTCAGGACCAAATGTTTTCATTTTCCTTCCCAGACTTCTTCACTTTGTGCATTTCTTCTACCAGTAGACTCCCCTTGCTCTTGGGTTAGAAGCCAATTAAAGCTTCTGCATAGCAGAGCCCAGCCAAGAAAGAAATATGATCAAATTGACCAACCTAAATGATGGGAAATTACTCACAAGTGGAGATAGATCTGAACTGAAGCCTGGATCGAAACACCCCCAGATTTGGGGAAAATGTGGATCCTGATCTGGAGCTGAAATTCACAGCTAGCCAGGCCAAATCCCCAGACTCAAACTTCTGTGAAATTTGGGAAAGTTTGCATCTGAAGTTTGAATCTGAGTTAGTGATTTGCATTCATTTCTGCTTGTAAGTTTCTCTCTGGCATTATTTTCTAGAGCCAGATGTTCAAAAGACACCCCCCCCACCCATATTAAACATCTGCACCTTTGTTTCTGGTTCATTAAGACTCAGTCAAGGGCAGCCATTATGTCTCTCTATACGCAGTTGTTACAGTTTGGGAAATCTGGCGTGGTATAAACAATCACTCTTTGTGATGATCGACTGTTTCAGAGCAGATGTTCTGCACTCCTAAGTACCCCTTGCACTTCTACACACACACAACCCCTCACATTTTATTTGTATAGGTCAGGAGGCACGCATGCAATCTCAGAGCAGTAAGAGGCTGTGTTTGTTGTCTCACCTATGTAATGTCCTTTAGTTGTAAGATGAAAGAAGACAAATGCAAAGGGTGTTAAACTGTGATACATTTACTTTGTAAAAAATTGTTCCACCATGTTTCGGTTTGTGTTTTCAGTGCACCCAACTATTCCTGCGGAAAACATCTACCCGTTTTTAATGATGTATTAGAGAGGCTACAAAAGCAGAAAGCCCAATAATAATGGGGGATTTCAACTGTCCTCATATTAACTGGTTATATATGTCACCTCAGGAAGGGATGCAGAGATAAAATTTCTAGACACATGAAATGACTGCTTCTTGGAGCAACTTGTCCTGGAACCCACAAGGGAAGAGGCAATTCTTGATTTAGTCCTAAATGGAATACAGGATCTGGTCTAAGAGTGAATATAGCTGAATCACTTAGTAATAATGACCATAACGTACTTACATTTAACATCCTTGGGGGGGGGGGGGATGCCAAAGAAACCCAGCACAGCAGCATTTAACTTCAAAAAGGGGAACTACACAAAAATGAGGAAGCTAATTAAATGGAAATTAACAGGAACAGTCACAAGGGTGAAATGCCTTCAAATTGCATGGAGACCATTTAAACAGACTGGCTCAAATTAAATGTATACTCCAAATAAAAAAAAACAGTAAGGAGGCTGAAAAAGTGCCACCATGGTAAAGAGCAGAGAAGAAGAGTCAGTTAGAGACAAAAAGACATCTTTTAAAAATTGGAAGTCAAATCCTAGTGAGGAAAATAGAAAGGAGCACAAACCCTGGCAAGTCCAGTGAAAAGTGTAATAAAACAAGCCCCAAAAGAGTTTGAAGACCAACTAGCTAAGAACACAAAAACTAATAGCAAATATTTTGTTAAGTACCTCAATGCTGATAAATGCAAAGTAATGCACATTGGAAAAAATAATCCCAGCTATATATACAAAATGATGGGGTCTAAATTAGCTGTTACCACTCAAGAAAGAGACCTTGAAGTCATCGTGGGTAGTTCCCCAAAATCATCAACTCAACATGCAGTGGCAATCAAAAAAGCTAACAGAATGTTAGGAACTATTAGGAAAGGGGTAAACAATAAAACAGAAAATATCATAATGCCACTATATAGAGCCATTACCCACTCCTTGAATACTGAGTGCAGTTCTGGTCGCCCCATCTCAAAAAGATATAATAGAATTGGAAACGGTGCAGACAAGGACAACGAAAATGATTAGGGATATAGAACAACTTCCATATGAGGAGAGATTTAAAAGACCGGGACTGTTCATTTTAGAAAAGAGCTGAGTAAGAGGAATATGATTGAGGCCTATAAAATCATGAATGGTCTGGAGAAAGTGAATGGGAAAGTGTTATATACCCCTTTGCATAATACAAGAACCAGGGGTCACCCAATGAAATTAATAGGCAGCAAGTTTACAACAAACAAAAGGAAGTATATCTTCACACAACACACAGTCAACCTGTGGAACTCATTGCCAGGGGATGTTGTGAAGGTTCAAAAAATAATTAGCCATGATGGTCAGGGACACAACTGCATACTCAAGGTGTCTCTGAACCTCTGACTGCCAGAAGCTGGAACTGAACAACAAGGGATGGATCACTCAAAATTACCCTGTTCTGTTCATTCTCTCTGAAGCATCTGACATTGGCCACTATCAGAGACAACATATTGGGCTAGATGGACCATTGGTCTGACCCAGTCTGGCCGTTCTTATGTTCTTATTTTCTCTGCCTCTAGGACACAGCAGACTATGTGAAGCCTGTGACATTTTCAGTCGAATATGGGCTGGAGAATCCTGACTATGGTCCCATGATGGATGATGGCTGGCCAACTGCATTTAAAGTCTCTGTACGTAATGGTCATTGCACTTGGAGGAAAGTACTCTGCATGGGATAGCCCACTGCAGAACCAGTCTGAGCAATAGTCGACACTAATTATCTATAGCACCTTTCACCCAAGGATCTCAAAGCTCTTTATGGAGGTGGCTACGGTATAGTCTCACCATTTTATACATGAGGAAACTGAGGCATGGAGAGGCTGCGTGAGTAGCCCAAGGTCACACAGGGTTTGTCTATACTTTGAGCTGGCTACTCTCGGTTCTAGCCCGGGGATGTCTCCTCCCGCTACAAATCACACCCCCAACTCGAAGTGTAGACATTCACACCGTCAGCCAGGTCTCCTGACTCTCAACTGCTGGAGCATGTCTGCTCCGGTAAATCTCAGTGATATCCTACCTGCACAATGCATATTTGTTATTTCTTTCTCTGTGAACCATGGCACATATGAGAATCCATGTTATTGGTATCACTTAAAGCCTTACCCTCAGTCACATCAGAGCCAGTGGTTTTAAAACCTTGTCCCCTGGCTTTGACAGGAGAAGCAAAATTGTCAATGGTTAACCATAAGGGGCTGGATTCCGTGGTCCAGCAATTTCACAGCGACTGTCACTGGGAAATTCCCCTGGTGCCGGGGGGATTAGTGCAAAGCCGGCAGGAACAACTCCATCACCTCCAGTGCCAGAAACCAGCCCCCTGGCAGAAGGGGAGGAGGGGGCACGGCCGTAAAGGGGGTGTCCTAGGAACAGTCTCCGCTGTCCCTATTCTCCAGTTTCCCAAGGGACCGTGCAGCAGTGGCATATGTTAAAACCACCCCCTGGAGCCAGGCAGCTCTGCAGAGAATAGAAAATCAACTCAAAAGAGTGCAATAACGTTATGCTCCCCTATTGCAGAGCCAATCTGATTAGAGCAGCCTGAGGGCTCTTACGTTCTCATATTACCCTATGGAGATCTAATTCTAGCTCTTTGCCAGGTAGCAAAGACTTATGGGTCGGGGGTTTCCCATACACGTGCCTTCCATTTCAGTGAGGAACCCAAGGCTGTGTTTGCAAGAAGTGGGGTGCTAACCCCAGATTCTAACCGGAGTGACTACACTCTGCCTAGCCCAGATCCTCCTGTAATTCCAGCTGGGTAC